GTGTGCATCCTCTCTGCCGGCGTTGCCCTGGTCTTTGTTGTCCCGGTTGTCTACTCTGTGACTACGGGGGTTTGCTGGGCGTGCCTGCTGGCAGTTATCTACCCACGGTGCGCGCGGTTGCTTCGCCTTCCTCCATGCGGCCGGGTGTTGCTAATTCCGGGTCACCTTCTCTGGGCAGGCATTCCCTTCTTGTCTCTGGCGTGCTTTGGCCCCATCTGTCTGCAGTTATCTACCCACGGCCTTCGTGTAGCAGGATGCTGCTTGCCTCATATGGTTGTCCCGCGACGGTCCTAAGGCCGCGGTGATTTGCGTCTCACTGAGTTTTCTGGTGGTATGGAGTTTAAGCGAGACTTGTCACCACGCCGGTTGTGCCAGTTATTTTTTTGGGTCTCTTGTACATTGCTGGACCTTGGGATCCTTAGTTGCACTGCGTGGTTCTGCAATTTTTCCGGGCAAAACCAGCGTGTGACTTTCTGATTGGAATTGGGAGTTATGGATGCTTGGAGTCTTGGAGTGTTCTGGATTTTCGGTTGATGATATATTCTCTCGAATTGCTGGTGGCTAGAACATAAATACGTGAACGGTATTTGTGCTTGCTCAAAACTGTTTACGTATGTTGTTTTACCACAGCTGTTTTGCACTCCATTAGTTCGCTAGAAACCAAGGGTTCGAAGCGTGAAGCATGTCAAAGCTCTTTTGCCCACCCGAGTTCTGGGTCTGCTGTGCTTTCCAAAAGATCGGTGAGCAAAGCTCCCGTTTCTGGTGTCTGCGTTCCGTTGACTGATAGAGTTTTCAGCTTCCACCCTCCCAGCCCTGAACCTTGGGATCCTTAGTTGCACTGTGTGGTTCTGCAATGTTTCCCGGAAAAACCAGCGTGTGACTTTCTGATTGGAATTGGGAGTTGTGGATGTTTGGAGTATTGGAGTGTTCTGGATATTAGGTTGATGATAACGCTACACTGTCGAGCTCCCAAGGAACCCCCCAAGCTCCCGAAGGAATAGTGGGACCGTGCGAGCCAGATTTAAGATCAGGTTTGAAGTGCGTTCTAGCCCAGACAAGCCTTCAAGTTACGCTGCTTACGTTCTGTTGGCAATGCAAGGAGAACGGTTGTGCGCGTATGCCCGTCAGCAATGTTTTTATCATCGTCCACAGTGAACCCAGCATTATTTGCAGGCATTTGCATGCGGTTGACATGTAACACCCAGGTGAGTCCACATGATCATGATCATTGGTTGCACGGGCTAAGCATAGAAAGAGCGGATCGCATGCAGCGAGTCCGGACTGGTCGTTGTCCGCGAAGTTTAAGTCTGCCATGGGCACAAAACCGCCGATAATATGTGATACGGGAACAGGCGTGATCAAGGCCAGTGTTTTGTGAACTTCACATTTGCAAAAGTGGTCATGTTAAATGCATGCTCATGCTGCATGAGGCAGGGTTTGCAGGAGAACCGGAACCGTGCTGAACTCAGAAGAACTGTTTTGTTATTCGTTCGCTTCTTAGTGTGGCAAAGGTCTTTGGTGTTGCCCAATTTGTTGGGCCGCCCCATGCTTCGTGCTGACAGTGGAATCGGGCCTTACCAGGCAGGTTATGCCTTTACTCAGTGGTGTCTTCACCAAGTCAAGCAAATCATGCACGCTTAGCTTCACCGTTGTTGTGAGGTGAATGACATCATGGTTGGGGATGAAGCCAGCGCTGCCAGGCGGATTGATGACAACAAGCGTGGAGTGCGGCCATCAAACACACAGTTTTTTGTCAATAAGGTCCTTGCTACAATTGTCGAGACCAATTCAAAACGGTGTCGTCAAAGATTGGGAAGGAATGGAGGCCAGCTAGCTTGGCGCGGGCATCATGCTTTCGGAAAGGTGGCTTCTGGCAGTATGTGGGTCTGGACATATGCGCCATTCAGAAGCTCTCGCCCTTCCCGCAAATGCATCGTAGGTGGTTTTCCACGAGTTTTTTCAAAGGGCCTTCGACATGGCTTGTGTCTAAGTCTAAGCCAGAAGAAAGCCTCTACCCATTTGGTTCCCTTCTGCTTGCGATGACAGGCCGTTTGGGACTACACCTTCCAACAGCTCGGTGTCAACCCCGCCGAACACAAGGCCTGAGGCATTGCTGGTCTGTATGTACAAAAAAAAGTTTCCACTACTTTACGTTGCTGGTTTCGGCGAGATTTCTGTATTGTCCGTGGCAAACGAGTCAACGTGTTTGCACAAATGGCCCGTGGTGCATTCAATGTGTTGTACTTGTGTCTTTGCGCTGCCATGTTGCGACAAGGTTCTTCAGACTGAAGCTGCTTTGAATCCACCACGCAATCGAGAACGCATGGCCGGGAGCAGAGCATGTCAAACATCGAGCTGCAGATGCTGCATGTGTTTGGAACGCACCCATGAGTGCCGAGCTCCCGAACATGCACAGCCAGGCCAGTATGAAAGGCATGCTGAACTTCAAAAGGTTTCATCAGAAGCTCGAACAGCGCTGAATTTTGTAAGTAGAAGGACACAATCGTGACGAGAAACACGCATTGCGCAAAGAAAGAAAGTGATGTGTTTCATGACTAGTGACGACATGTTCTCAAGGTCGAGACCATGTTTGAGCGCTATGGCTTCAGCGCCGTTAATGTATCGGTCCAGGCAAGAAGAGCTTCCCGAAGAGTTTCATGAAGTCTCATGCACAATTATAGTTGTTCAGGCCATCTTGGCCTTGAATTCTCGTGGGCTGGATTCTGGCTTTGTTGTGCGAGCTCTCAGTCGGCTCATCTGCTACATGGTCACCAGATGTAGACGTGAGCACGTAGCAGGTCGATTCCGGCGATGGTGTCACACACCTCGTCCCAATCTGGGAGGGCTATCTTGAGCCAGCATTGGTGCAAAGGGTGGGCAACTGACATCTCACTGGTTTGCTCAGTTTGTTCAGTTTGCTGACATGCTGGCAGGTAAATCTTGCTGGCAGACACGTGACGGAACAGCTCATGAAGTTGCTTGTAGGCCTGGGACGTGATGACATGCCACGTTCCTGTCTAATGCCATGTCGGCTTCGCATCCAGGGCAAGGTAACCCCTTGAACTCGACTGCCGACTTTGAAACCGTCAGAGAGGCCACTTCCAAGCATGCAGTGCAGTCGACATCAGTCGAATGCTAAACGTCGCAAGTGTCAGGTCAAACAGAAGCTTTGCTACATCGCCCACGATCCAGATGTGGAGAGGAAATTGGCCAGCCCACACAGATCATCAGCTCTTGATTTGTACCGACGTGTTGCCGATGCCGAATGATGTCAACAGAGTGCGGTGCATCGCATTGCATCGCCTGTACCAGGATCGAGTAGGAGATTTACTGCGTGGTTTGTGTCGTTGCCAATTTGCAAGAACCGACCGAGCATGCTTTGAGAGTGGGCCGAGGCGCGGGAGACTACGCTGGTGGACAGACAGCACTTTTGCTTGAAACTCTCGTACCGCATAAAAGCATCCGCTCTTGCATGACCCCCACGGGATCCCAAGTGCGTGTATGTGCGTATGTTGTGTCTTGGGCCTTTCGTCGCATGCAGCTTGGTAGGAGTGAGAACCATGAACGATTTTCTGAGGTATGTTCTGCCTGATAGTCGTACTATGCGAGTGGGTTCTGAGCGGTTTCTGGCGCCGGAAATCCTGCACGTGTCCCAGATGGTGATGCGAGTCCCTTCAGACGACTCTGGTTTTGTGTGAAAGCCTGCCATACTGCCAGATTTACTCCTGCTTTGGGCGGCTACGGCGATGGTGATGGACTGGCAGATTTGGCTTCGGCCTTGGATCTTTAGGTGGACCTTGGATGAGTCTGGACTCTGGCTTGCATCAGGATCTGCAGCCTCGATTGCATCTGAGGTGTTCAATACAATACGCAAGTCTGACATCGATGTTCAGAAGGAGTGGTTCAGGGATAGAAGGGGTGGGGTCTTGAGGGATGCTTGGTATCGTTCCCAAACCTTTCAGAGTTGAGGAGCTTTTGGGTTTAGGCGATTTGGTCCTCAAAGTAGTGCGGCGCTTTAGTGCCCAAAGTAGTGCATGCGAAGCTACTCAAAGAATTTGTGCTCCACGGAAAGTGTAGACGATATATACGTCCAGCAACCGAAATCGATTTCGGAAGATCTCAAAATGCAGCCACGCAAAACCATCTCAGTTCTCCTCGCAGTTGAGATTCTTCGTCAAAAGTTCACTCAACTTAGCAACCCATTTCCTAGCAGGGAAGGGTTCTAATTACTAGCACACCACAGACTTTTGGAGACGTCGCAGAAAGAGAGAGACCTCTCATGCCAAGGTGCATGCTTTTGGAACTTTCTTGAACGCTTTCCGCGCTCAACGCGCTTTCATCTTGCGTCTTGCCTTGGTTCTTGTGGGAGAGCACGCTGCCGTTGGGCGCCCCTCGGGCCATCGCTTGCCTTGCCCTGCACAGACCAACTTCATGAACACCCGTAATAATACTGCAAGTTAGAACGGAGGGAGAGAGCATGAGAGAGCATAGCATTTGACGAGCGTGAGTTCGTCCTTGGAGCACCAGTATGAAGTATCTGTGCTCTCGCAGCATTCACCAAATTCATGCGCTACATTTCATTTGGCGTATACTGTGTTGCATTTCACTCACTTCACTGACAATATCATGATTATGAAAGTGGCTCATTCAAGCACCCAATAGCTGGTTTTGTTTAGGAGATTCCGGAAGGTTAGACAGGCGGTTGGCGTCCCGAGGGTGGGTTATAAAGTGTACTAGAAGATAGAGGTGAATGCCGCATCCATGAAGTGAGAGCGAACAATAGGAACAAGACAGGTGGTATTGCTAATGGAAAGGTACCAAGAGAACGGGAAAGTCATGTGTTCACGGTTACCTCATGACACCTTAACTCCGTGTGAGCACAGGCTTGCAGACACTTTTTTTAGCGGGTTTACCAACTGGCAGGCTGGTGTGTTGTCATTCTTGGACGACTCAAAGGTTTGGCCTGGACCGGTAGCCATGTCGGCATCGCGTCGGCATCCGGTCGGCATCCTGTCGGCATCGGCGTCCTGTATGTCGGCATCGTGTCGGCCCAGGGAGCAACCGATAAACTCAGTTTTCAGAACGGGCTTCGTAGCGTAAGTGAAGATGTCAGTATATGGTTTTCCGGAACTTGCAAGCACTTGCGACTTTGCGTGCGCTTGCTTGCCTTCAGAGTCAGGGCTACTTTCAGCAGATTGTGCTTTCTGGGGGCACGACGATGTTTCCCGGAATGTCATCACGATTAGAGAAGGACGCTGGAGATGTTAACAAGTGTTGATATCTCCTTCGACCAGTTCGTGTGCCCTTGTTCAGGACTTGAGAGCACTGTATTTGCAGAATGTCCTTGGTGGTGACACCTCCCGCGCATCCAAGTTCAAAGTCCATGTAGAGGCCATGGCTGCATGCTCGCACGCTGCAATTGCCAAGTTGCTTTAGTCTCGCGTGCCCTTTCTGAGCAGGATCCCCCTGACCGCCAACACATGGTCTTTCTGGGTGCATCCATTATGGCTGATATTTATGAGCAGCAGGTGCGGTGGCGTGTTGTGGAGTTGTGGAATTGTCAGGGCATAGAAAGAACACGTCTGAGGCAAATCCCAGATACTGGATCACACGTGAGGAGTACCAGGAGACTGGTGCTAGACACCCTGGCTTGTTTCAATAGAAGTGTTTCATGTTTGCTTGCAACAAGAAAGACAGGCAGGTGCATGTACGTGTCAAACTCGACTCGTATGGAGCAGGTGCAGTCCAGAGATTGATTCCCACCAAGTTAGCCTGAGCAGTTGCGACCAGAAAAGATTGGCGTTGTGTCAGCATTCATTCTGTCTAGCTCGGGCCTCAGGCCGAGACGGCGTAGTCACTCTCTGTGCATTGTGGCTCAAAGCCAGTGGCTGGCGGGGATGTGCCCTGCGGGGCTCTGCGGGGCGGGCCCTCCTTCTTGGCCCAGTCTTGCATTTGAGGACTGCGGAGCTGTCAACTGTTTCAGGCTCCGTGCAGCGCGATGCATGTAAGAAGGCTTTTTTCGGATGCGAAGGGAAAGGGATGCGCAAAGCACCCGTAGCGGATGAAGTCATGAAATCTCCTTGTCGACAATGTTAGCCAGGGACAGATACAGCATTGCCAGCTTCCTTGACAGGAGTCGAGGTCGTCTGCAAGGGAGAACAATGACAGCCGCAGTTGCAGAATCATCCGCCTGGAGCTGTGATTGTTTCCACCTGCATGAGGTTGCCTTTGACTATGGAGGCGTAGTTGCAGGGGATGCCAACGCTCGCGATGTGTTTGAAGAAGTAAGAAATTTTGCTATCAAATTGTAAGAACCTTTTCATAAACTGAAAATTACTCCACCCCGCCGCTTCTCCGCCCAAGAATGTGGACACTCGCATCAGCAAAGAATTGATAGACATGTTTGTCAAATTCCCGAAGTTTAAGTTTATCATGATGGCTCAAGACCAATCAATGGCCCAATCATTCAATCAATTTGCACCCATGAATGCTATACATTTTATTGGATTGTACGGGGGTTGAGGGTCCGCGCGCTGCCAAGCCGCAAAGCATCAATAATGTGGCAGGAGGCTGTTGAGTCTTTCCGCAGAAATCTTTAGACAGCCTGTTTTTGCACAAACCGATTGAGCCCAACTGTAATGTTCGTGGATCAGAAACATCATGGACCATAGAGCTGCAGGCTTTTGAGTCGTTCCGCAACAGCTTCCAGAAAGCTGGATTTCATAAATGTTTTCTGCGAACCATCAGAAAATGAGGCTCTCGTGATTGTTGCTATTTTGCCATTGCGACACAAATGTGCATCTGATTCCTTCAAATGGAGGTGCTGACGAGCCACAACACGCCACAGGCCACAGGCCACAAGCCACAAGTCACAATCGGCTGATCAGCAAAGCATCTTGATTTGCGAGCAATGTGAAATACAGGCTAGCGCTTTTGAAAAAGAGCCCTCGGTTTTTCTTCCTTCCAGATTCCAGATCGTCAGGCCCCGACTTTGCTGAAGGAGAAAAACTTCTTTTGTCGGTGATTCCCTGACACAGTTGCGTTTATTGACTCCCAGGTTGATCCGTCAGGAACCCGGTGTTTTTTGGATTGTTGCATGCTCTTGATGTGCTTCCTTCCATTTCGCTTTTGAACGAAGTCACGGAACATCAGGCTGGGTTCCCGCGAAAGAACTCCTGTGACGCTTGCTGTGAGGACATCTGCATATGTGTCCTTCTTGCAGGGTGTTGGAAGTCGCTGCCTACCTTGCAGGAAATCTTTAAAAAGAACACATGATCTGTTCGCGGGGAACGAGGAGTTGAAGCGCGTGGAGGTCAGTCTTGCAGATCTTCCAAGGCAAAATCGTGATATACATGCACCTGAGCAGGATTCCCGGGGCACCGCGGCTTTGCTACGCTTGAAAATGCACGACGAGTGACCTCTCTTGCGGTGTGCAGGTTCCGTAACGCATTCCTTGTAGGCACCTGTTGCGTCCGTGCCTTTTGCCACCAGTCCAGCACAAGACTGTTAGATTCTGCTAGATGTGGCTCCAAGCCTAATTTCCTACACGTTGCAGCTTTGGACTCGCCTCACAGTGAGGCTTCTCTTGTCATTGCTTGTGCTTTTGTGGCTCCATCCGTTCGTGGTCCGTCCGACTCTGGGGCACGTCGCAGCCGCCTGCACCTGCCTCCCCCTACGACTGGTTTACTTGAAGTGAGGAAAACCTTTCATCCGTAATCACCGATGTACAGTTGCAGCTTGTCCCCGGAGGCTTGAGATTTGCTTCGCTGCGTGCATGCACTGCACCCTCGTTTACTTTCCCCTACAACGGACTGACAGCTTCTGTCTGAGCGGGCTGCAGGGCTACTTCGCTCCGCAGTAACTTTCTTGCCGTTTTGTTTGCCTTCCATCGTTTCACTGCCATCCAAGCAAGGTCCCCAAACCCTTTGAAGCTCCACTGCCACACTCGCAACTTGCTGCATGCCGTCTTGAGCCGCAGAGAGGAGCTTGTGCAGACAGATTGCCTTGTGTACGGGCCACTGTTGCCTAGCATGTCCGCCACTACATGCTCATGAGGATTCATGAGGCCTTGTGAGGAAACTGGCCGTTCCCTGTTCCGGCACGCTGGAGCCGTGTTCCACATACCTTTGAAGGAAAATGTCATGAAGTCTCCAGTCGCACGTTTGGGGACTGGGACTGGGGATCACATTCTGTGTGGAAAGCCTTCGTAACACCCAAGGCCAGCGGAAAAACCAGCGGAACCTGATAAGGATGCGCTAAAGCCAGCCATTGCAGTCCACTATCTGAGTAACCTCGTCGAGGGAAGTCAAATGCTGACAGATTTGAGGTGTCAAGCCCTAACCCAGATTTTGAGAGACGGGGTTTGCCCATCCCAGAGGCCGGAATATACTCAGGGTTCTTCTCAGAACCTGCTTCTTCTCGGAGACTAACTGGGTCAACAGGTTCACATGATGAGTACATGCAATTACAAGACACAGATCGGGGCGGCCAGTTCCTGGTGTATTTGTGCGTGGTTATGCAAGGTACCAACACATTCGGGATGTGCCAGAGCAAGTTACAGACGAGAGTGCGACGGCGTTTGTGCCCCAGTCGTGAAATAGGTCATTGCAAGAGCGAACAGAGTGTGACAGCTTTGAGTTTGCCATTTCTACGGGCTGGGATCGATGATGCCACTCAGGAGGCACGTTCACCAACACATTCTTGGGCTACTCTGTCTCTCTCTTTCTCAGCTCTGCTATTGCGCAGGCACTGCCATCTGCGATCACGCAAATGATCACTGTCGCTCCGACTTGCTTATCAAGTTTGCTTTCGTTCGTGTCTTGGGCCTTAGAATGCCCAGCCTGACAATCATGATTCATGAGAGACAGCAAGGATGGTGAGAAGCCCGGGCAAGGTCCCACTGTGGGACCAGCTCGCCTTGCCTGTTTGCACTGTCGTCTTGAGAGGTACGCTTCGAGGTAAAGTGCCTGCAGCGCAGGTCGTGCCATTTGCGCCAAAAGCTCCAGCAGACCCATCGACGCAAATACAGGCAGGCCACTCTGACGCCACAGCAACTGCAATTGTACTGGCACGTCAGCTTTGCTTGTGATCAGGTGAGACCTCTACGTGAACGCCCCGAGATTCCGAAGCCTATCTGGCATCCGCCATGGAAGCTTATGCGGGTGATGTTTGACACTCAATCCTCGGCGTGATTTCTGGCATGAAGCCAATGGGCGAGGCGTCTGTTCTCATGTCAAAGCAACACCAAAAAGAGCTCTAGTGCTAGTTCATAAGGGGCTCTCTGTTTTTTGTTGGGTGTTCTCTACCCTCCTTCCCGAACCTCCGCTGCCTCCGGACGACGAGAATCCTCGTCAAGTTGGGTGTCGCATGGCCCGTCACGGGGTCAAGGTGAGAGAGACGGAAAGAAAGACTGGGAGTATCCTCGACAAGGTCTGGGTGAGCATGGCGGGCACGTGTGGGTGGCCTCGGTCCAGTACTTTCTGGGATAGGATGGCGCCTTTCTTGAAGCCCAGAGCGTTGGCTCTACGATCTTCAGTTTTCCTTCCGGTATGTCTATCATGGTTTCCGCCCCAACTTTGAGCATTCCTACTAGAATCTGAAGCTTGACAATGCGAACGTCAGGTAAAACCTTCAGCCCGTTGGGTGTTTGTTTTTTTTGGCCATGCATGCTTGTAATGGCATCTCAGTAACTTGCACGACACTTGCATGGGGCGCAGATTCTGTCGAGCTGTGGTATCGGTCGCCAACTTGTTCCACTGCTTTCACTGGCACACAACCGCCCTTTTGCTTCCAGACTCTCGATGTCAAGCCTGTCTGGCTAGCGCAAGCAGTCTGCGTGCGAGGTCTATGGCGCAGACAGGTCTCTTACACGAACACAGATTATGCTCTGTAAAGACGGAACCACGGGCCAGGCTCTAGACTCTAGACGGTAGTCCGGGACGACCGTCTAGAGCTTCTTTTTCACATAGTACGGATGAAGACCGAAACCATCACTCATCAAAAGGTGCGTGCGAGATGGCCGACCAAAGCGATTGTCCTGCTCTTGAAAAAGATGTTGAGGGCCTCTTGCACACGCTTCCAGTTTGTGTTTCCTTCCAAACATAGCCAGCCTGGAGACACTGCAGCTTGCCACTTTCTACAAGCTCTAGATCAAGGTCGTCTTCTGCTAAACATGTTTGCAATACATTCTGGATCGATGAACATGGAATTCTCACATGGGATTGATCCCTTCCGCTGAAATACGAACAGGTCTTCACCGTGGAAATGCCATCTTTGTTTTTGATCTAAGTTGAATGGAGTTTGGTATTCGTTATCATCTCGACCTCAGGCTCAGGTGCCTCCTGATCGTACTGAGCTTTCTCGTTGAAGATCTGGCCAACCTCGTCCATCGAAATGTCCATGTCACCCTTAAAGGCTGAAGAGTTGAATCGTTGAATGCAGTTTGGCACTCTCTGTGCCGGCGCGTGGGTGTGTGTGGCCACCTTGAGATATAGGATACCTCTTGGTCTGTGCAGCTTCAAAGATTGTTTCATTGCAGGGGGGCACGGTATCAGGGTGATTTTTGTATGTGTGTGTGTATTGTGCGTCTGTGTGTGTGTGTGTGTGTGTGTGTGTGTTGTGTGTGTGTGTGTGCGCTTCGAGCCGTCTTAAGGTCTGGCCATGAAGGTTGGGTGCGGACAGTTGCAGTGGATCCGACAAATGAGTGGCGGATTGCTCAGGTGGTCAGCGTGGAATGGGAAGTTTGCCTTCTCAATGTTGTTGCGGTTCTTGCCCTCAGGTTCGCATCCTCTGGCAATGACCGCCTCATAAAGATCTGGGACTTGGCCAGCGGCACGTACCGTTCTGAGCCGATTGTAGCCAGGTGCTGATGTTGCGTTGGAATCTGTTGGAAGCGGTGCCAGCACCGACAGGCTGAAGTTGTCGTTGACTGGGCATGTCAGCACAGTCCGTGCTGTGGCAATTTCTGACAGGCAGTGTTGAGCTTGTGGAGGGTCGTGCCAGCAAGCGTTGATTTCGAAAATCTTCATAACGTTGCTGCAGGCATCCGTACCTCTTCAGCGCGTCCGAAGACTGCGAAGTCAAGTGCTGGGACCTGGAGCAAAACATGGCGGGCCATGCTGAAGATATCGATGCTGTGTGTTGTGTTTTGTTGCGCTACTTCTGACCGTTGCCAGGTAATTCGCAACTATCATGGGCACCTGAGTGGAGCAATCGCCTCAGCCTTCGCCTTCGCTCAGCTTCACTCATCATGTCGTTTCGCTTCGCAAACCACACCCATCTTTTCTCGTCGATTTATCCGAGGTGTATTGCCTGGTTTTACACCCCACTCTGAACGTCCTGGCGACAGGTGCGCACTCTCTTGCTAGGCTTTTGAGGTCAAGCTTGGCCACCGAACATTGTGACTGGAGACCAAGAACATGGCTTATGTACGAGCTGCATGGCTTGACTTTCCTTTCCGGGAAGGCGGACGAGATGGCTCAGTTCGCATATGGGACATGCGAACGAAGACGGGTATTTTTGTCTTCACCGGCCATACCAATGCCATTTGCTCGTTGACCTCTCAGGCCACGTTCATGACCAGGATGTTTCGCACACATTCGACTTGTCTGAATTCATTGTATCAGGCCGCCGAGCCCCAGTTCATTAGCGGCTCGATGGACAGAATGGTTCCGGACTCATCCGGGCTCATATGGCAGAATTTGAACCACGTTTGTCCATGCCGCATGATGATCGATGTAGAGGTGCGACTTTGGGATCTGGCAGCCGGCAAGTGCTCGGTTGCTACCCAAGATATTTCAAAATGCCTATCCACGTGCATGCTTTCACACAGAGTTTCACTTTCAAGGTCACTTTGACCAACCACAAGCCGCGGCCCATGCAGCCCATGCAGTGTCTGCTGTGTTCACTGCTCAATGTCTGGGTATCGAGGAAGAGCATACGAGCCTTGGCGATCCACCCGCTAGAGTACACCTTCGTCTCATGTTCGTCAGACAACAACAAGGTCTGAGCTCAATGCCAATCATTTCGACCTTGCTTTCTAGCATGATGCAGGTGTGGAAGTGCCCTAAAGGGGCATTTGAGCGCAACATCCAGGGCCACAACGCGATTGTGAATTGTGACCCTGTCAAGTTTGCTTTCGCAGTGCAGTGTCAGGTTCTTACAATCCTGAGTCATACGCCCTGCTGAACACACTATGGCCTATATACCCACTGCGAGCCGCTGGTCTATTCTCGTCTTTGTTCGTTTGGTGTTCAAGTCGTTCAACATCGTTCCACTATGGCCAGTGCGTGAAAAATAGGGAAGGATGAGGATGGCGATGATGAACAAGGTGACGATGAAGATGGCGAGGTCTGACTGTGTCAAAAGCTCTGATTTGAGCTTGATGTCGTGCAGGTAGGTCTTTCAGCTCTCGATGACGCCGCTGGCACACATGTCGTTACTTATTTTTTTCTTGTTCGTGTGGGGTTGTTTGATTTTACTCAACTCTTCTCCTTTTCTCCTCGCCCGGAACTCTCCTCGCCCGGAACTCTTCTCCTCGCCCGGTCTACTCCTCAACCCCAAAGTGTCCCTGGAGTGCCCAACCCTAGAGTGTCCCAGAGTGTCCCCGAAGTGCCCAGCCCCAGAGTCTCCCTGGAGTGCCCTACGCCAGATATTTTTTTGGAGTCCCCCCCCAAAAAAAATTCCTCAGCCCCAAAGTCTCCCTGGAGTGCCCAACCCGAGTGTCCCCATTCTCCCTGGAGTGCCCAACCCCAGAGTCTCCTGGAGTGCCCAACCCCAAAGTGTCCCGGAGTGCCCAGCCCCAGAGTCTCCCCAACCCCAGAGTGTCCCGGAGTGCCCAACCGCAGAGTATCTCTACCAAGAGAGGGTGGGGATGTTCGAAGTAAAATAATTTTCTAGTTTGGTGTGCATCTTCGTTGTCTTGGACCTCTTTGCAGCACCATCTTCGCGGTGATGTCACGTTACAAAGCAAACCTCAAAAGCTCCGAGTTGAGTTTCTGCACGGGGGCATTCAAAGTGTAGCGCAATTCCTCTGTCTTTGGCGCTGTGCTTGTTTAGAGCAGTGCTTGATGACAGGTTGCACGATACGTGAGGGGCAGCAGGGCTCATCGCAGCTGATTGGTGGGACAGACAACGGCTATCTCCATTTTTGGGACAGATGCTGCTCCATGCATGCGCTGCCACTATTACGTCTTGCAAAGAAAGCCTGCGCAGGACTGGAGAAGTGGCCACAAGTTTCAGAGCTTGGAGGTGCGCTAGATGGATCCGGACGACTAATGCGGCTGATCACGAGCTTCATCCCTGATGAGAAGCAACATGCAACTGCGCAAGGCTATACCTCAGCCTGGCAGCATGAGTTCGGAGCTTGGTGGTGACATTCTCTTACAGCCAATTTTCAGCTCTTAGGCCACGTGAGGCCCGTAGGCTTGACCTAGGGATCATAAGCATTGACGAAATGAGGTCAAAGGATATCACTTCTAAGTTGGTGTTATTTGATGTTCTGACTGGATCTGGTTCTCAAGACTTGCTAGTGCAAAGCGATGTCGTGCGTCAGGTGCCGAAAACGCAATCTTTGATATGGCGCTTGGAGCTTTTCCGATGCGAACATCTGTTTGCAAGCAAAGATATGGCAGATGTGATCCGATGCTCTTGTGCAAGGCTGGACCAGAGTGGCAGTCGCCTGCTGACAGCAGAGTGTGACAAGACGGTCAAAATCTACAGAGAGGAGACGGCTTGCGCCCGTGCATCATGCCAAGCCACCTTAGTCCGAAGTTGCTTGGACTGCTGAAGCTGAAGTTCGGCCTGGTTTTTGGCGTGTTTGGTGCTTGAGCATCTCTGCGGACAAGGACCCCAACGCGACTCCGGAGACGCATCCGCTCAACTGGAAGGCAGCAAGTGCATACAGAAGTCATGCCTGCTTATGGTGTTAAGGCGTGGTACTCGTAGCCCTCAGGGCAACATGATATGATGGTGTTGCGTGCGATCATTCGGAATGTGCAAGTGCCGTAGCGTGCCAGCCCGAAAAGGTTCAGTTGCTTTTCGTTTGGCTGTCCTCATTCCAACCATGTCGCATCGATGATCCGTTGCCCGTTCGGACATGAGGTTTTGACCGTCTCTTTGTTTGCGCTCGCAGCCAAATGAAGTGACATCAGCAGCTGGCGTTGCCCAACACATCCGATTCATCCGAGCACGACCCCAGACCCGCGAGCGAAGCCAACAAGACACACAAAACAACCAGCTAGAGGTGAGTGTTGGGATGTCTGCTGGAGCACAAAGCGATTGAAGTCTCCTTGCGTAGCACGCTACAGCTGAAGATGCATGAGATGCGACTTAACATCTTGGAAGGCATAGGCTCTGCAGCTTCAATATCTAGTTCTATGTCCTGGTCATGCGAGCAGTAACCCAGGACGTCTAGCACAGCTGTACTGTCACTGATGCCAAATTTTGTGCGGGTGCTAAATGAGTCCCAGATGAACTATGTCGGTTGAGGAACTGAATGACGGCAGCGTAAGCCGCAATTTTTGTGGCTTTCACGGGTTTGATGTACTACTAGTAACAATGTACTGTGCATTGTGGTTTTCAGGCGCCGAAGCTCAATGCGAACCACCGCTACTGAGCCCGAAGCATGAGGCCCCCACCACCCAGGCTTGAAGTTGACCAAAATCAGCACGACACTCAGCAAAGCTTCGATCGTGATTGTTGTGTTATGCCTCAGTGGTTCTGAAACTTAGACATCTTAGATGGAAGGGGCGTGTGGAGCTGGGCAAAAGCGCTATCGCGATGGGCTCCTGTGCTTTGATTTCATGTGCATGGCTGTGCATCGCGTCGGGGAAGTGTGATCTTTGGCCCAAGGGCAAGGGTTTGAGTTGCAGGCCCTACACAAACGTTCTCATAGCTTTGTTAAGAATCCTTGAAAGCCTGTAGCGAGCAGCCTTGGTGCTGGCCTGGCACTGATGCGGGTTTTCATGCATGGAGGGGGGCAGCTCCATGGCAGCAGGACAGTCGGACAGTAGTCTTCAACAGTTCCACAATAGGGACTACTCCGTCATGGTCAGCTGGTCCTAAGCCCAGGTTTGGGCCCCGAGCAAGTTCCAAAGCCAGATGAGACGCAGGTGGATTGACTGTTGGAGGGCATCACGATTTTTCGCTATGTTCTGTGGTGCGGCAGGAAGCTTCTCCTAATGCTTCGGACCAGGATCCTGCTTGTGCTCGTGTGTGTTGGGTGCAGCATTCTGTAGCACTGTCCATGGCCTTCTGATGTTGTCATACCCATATGAAGAAAGATTTGTTTGCCTTCTCCTTGCGGGTGCACTTTATGTATAGGGAATTTTGTGCAGAGTGGTCTAGAAGATCTCGTCTAGTAAAAAACCTAAATCAGTTCGAAATGCTTCACCTTGACGCATTGTGGTTGCCTGTCGGACCGGACAGCATTGGCGTGCACTCACAAGAATGGCGGCGTAGGGTTTGTGTTGACTGGAGGACGCTCTGAGCGGCGGCACATCTGTGAAAGGTGGCGAAGCGAACCAGGCTTTGACATGTTTTTGCTTTTGCTTGTTTGGCTTTGACAAGTTCACGTGCTTTTGCATCGAGTGTCATTGACCGTGGGGTTCGCTGCAGGTTACCAGCGAAGTCTCAGACAAGAACTCAAGGCAACACCTGCCACAACTGATGCACCGCACGATAGGTCCTTCAACTTAACAAACAGTCTGCAGTTGTTCCGCAACTTCGACTGCATTCTAATCTGGTTGAAGCTTGCCACATGTGCCGACAGCAACCTTGAGCAATGCAGTTGACCAGAACTGACGATTGCCCGGAATTGCTCCTCGAAATGTTCTGGGTCCATTAGCATTTGTCAGAAATGCAGTCGTTCAGAGCAGAAGTCCGCGATATTGTTCGCTGTTTGGTAAATTTGTGAGGCACTCTGAAGGAGCAGGGCACGCCCGAGTAGTGCCTTCGCTGGCGCCTCCAGGTGATGGGTCCATGCCTCAGGGTTGCAGGCAGAGCGAGACCAGAGGCTTCATGAGGCTTCATGAGGCTCGAAAGTGTTTTGACGATTTGCGAAAAAATGCTGGGAGCAGGTGCCACAGGATTTGGCGCCGTTCGTACAAGAAATGCCGGGATCAGACAGATGAGATGAAGGAGTGGCACGCACCCCGAAACGACTGAAGCTTCGTTCTTGTTCACTTGCCGAAACGCATCATATGTGACTGCAGGTACTTCCACAAGCGCCATGTTTTGGTGGAGTTCTCGGCTAGCCTGCAGCACTGTGCGGCCATTGCATTGTAAAGTGCAGGTGTTTACCTACAGTGGAAAGCCCGTGTACACGCGCTACGGTGAGGAGGTGGGGTGCACACAGCAGAGAGATCCCCACTGCAGACGAAAGATGCGAACAATCACCGTAGTCCTCTGAGGATGGTCTGAGTGGAACAACAGGAGCACTGTCAGCCATTGTGCCGAAAGCTGATCTTAGGGGGCCTTCCCCTGTGCGATTGAAAAATGTTGCCAAGCTACCCTGTCAACGAGCACTGGCCTTTGTGTTCAGGTCCAAGATGGCAAAGTTCTTCTTTTGTGACGGCGCCGCCGCAGATTGCTTGAGGCGTAGCTGTCGCTCAATTTCCTTCACAAATTTCATCCGACAGAGGCCAAAGCTCAGAAGCTCTGCAGGTACATGACTGCGGGCGAGCACATCTTCGCCTTTCTGGAGAAAGGGCCCTTGTGGTTCGCTCTCCAGTTGTGTCAACTCTGCCAGGTGCATCTCAATGTATTGCCATGCCGGGTTTGGACCAGGCTGGTCTGCATCTCTTGCGCCGGCGATCTCCACGGTGACATGATGTGTCTCTTGGAGCCGGGGTCCCCAACAGCTACAGGACCCTTCGAGCCTGGCATGAGTGTCTACGAACTTCATTCTGAGGCGAGTCCACATGCAAATCATAACGATCCTCACGGCAGGAATCGATGCTTGGAGGGAATGAAAGCAGCCAGGCTATTGTCTTTCAAGGCGAGTCAGCTCGAAGTGACATGCATGCCCTTTATTCTTGGTGGGATAAGTGTTCGTGTGTGCGCTCGGATGAAAGCGCACGTCTGCTGCCTTCACGTGCTATGATATTTAGTCGCCATGCTGCCGGCACAGCAGCTGCTGCCGGCTCACATCAGGGATTAAGAATCTCTGTCCAGAATAGAGCTCTGTAAGGGTGGTGGGTGAATGTCGTCATTTCCTTAGTTGTCGAGTGCTCCGCGTGCAGCAGTCTTGAGCAAAACAGAGTAAGAGTGTGCCTAGTTGATGCGGCAGATTCAGCATGAGTAGCTTGTCCAGTCACCAGCACATGTTGCCTGATGCTTAGGGCTATAGCGTTGATAGTTTACTCCTGTGTGTGCAAAACGAACAGAGTTTGCTGACTGTACCAAGCAAGGCCAATAAGGCACGGGGATGGAAGTGCGAGAGGGGGGGGGGGGGGGGGGGGGGGGGGGGGGGCTTGGTCCTTGAGCTCGGCCCGGATGGGCTCTGATCTGGGAATGCAGTGTTTTTGGCACCAATCATGGGTATTCATGGGTAGAGTAATCCAGAAAGTTCAGGTTGAGTTGAGGAGGCTACATGTCAAGTCTGTTCAAAAGGCCACAAACTACAGCTAGCTCGTGCAACGAATGCTGTCTTGTGAGCAGGCTTGCAAAATCAGATTGCCTTGTCGAGGAAAGAACTCTTGTCAGTCGGCCGAACTATGACATGAGAGGGCTGCTTGGAGGCCCCACCATTGTTTTAAGGTGTTTGGCAGTGTTTGGTTTTTCTCAATTCCGCTGTTTGTGTCCAGGAACAGAGCACGTCGTCAACAGCATGATACGATGGTGCGTGCAGGAGCTGCTACGCCTTGATTTTCCCAACAGTGTAGCAACACTATGAGGTTCCAACATTGAGGAGAAGGAACATTCGGGTGGGTCCAAAATCGCGCTCTTGCCTACACCGTGGGCATGGCTTCGGGTTGCCATCGCGCATGGTGAGGTTTGTCGGCATGGTCCGAAGCAGGCAATGACAGATCGCACTCTGTTCGCTGTGTGTGTCCATTCACAGGGTATTTTATGTTGTTGCCAATGGTGGTGCTCTCGGTCCCGTTTGCATGTCCAGAACAGTCGTTGTTGAGCCTCGGACCTGAGTCACGGTCTCGCGCGGACGCTCTTTCATGCCTTTCCGTGGTCGAAATCGCACTCCCGCCTTCCATGCACGGTCTTAGACTGTTTAGGGTCTATGCCGGCAGGATTTCGTGACTGTGATTGTTGTTTTTGTTGTTCTTGGTGCCCTGGCCAGACGTCGCAGGTCGACGTGCCTGCGATAGAAAAATACTACATGGGCATGCGCCAAAGTACACACGCGCCTGGCTGTGCATTCATCGGTAGTCTTATGGATGTTCTGGTGTTATGCGCCTTGCAAATACAGGGACAACCATATCAGAAGTAAACGCCAAAAGCCTGAGATGGGGAATGGGAAGCGCCAAGTCCTGCAAGGACGCCAGGTACTCGTATGAACGAAAGTGAGAGCCGGGGGCCGAAACTCAGATGGCCAACCCAAGGCACTGAACCAGTAACACAGTTCGAAGAAATGCGGATTGGTTGCTTTCCCAGGGAGGCATGAGACACGGAGCATCCATGTCCGCAGGACATGTTCTTGCAGTGCGAGGGCTTTGAAGCACTTCCACTGGCTCCAGCTCTGCGCAACATGGCAACAGAGGCATGTGCCCCTCAGTGAGGCTTGTGTGCCCAAATGCTTTCTGAGCACGTAACACGAAGGCGCTGAAGTCAGCGAGACTTCCGAACGTGCTTTTTGCCTTCTTGATGGCCTGCCACTCACAGGAGGTTGCTGTATTCCGGGCTTCCCTGACTTTCGCTCCCCGCATGTGTGAACACCTCAGCAAGGCTGGGCACCGTGTGCTCAGTGCCGTCTCGAACAGGTGCCAGTCAGACTGTTTTCACTTTTCAACTCACTGCAAGACGAACACAAAAAATTGAATGCACAAAAGCTGGCTTCGAGGCAGTACCGCCTCAACGCTTTAGACTTGGGCCGCAATCCTAGCGCTGTCATCCAAGCACCTGTCAACAAAAGCCCCCTTTCCAGTGCAGGCATGGTGATCAACATCATCATGTCATCAGCTTCGTTGCGGACGGGCGAGTCATGGACGCCGGTGTGCATGAGCCAGTACAACGACAAGGCATTCCGAGTTTGCATTGTGCTGCAGCCTCGCTTGACGAATGCCCTGGCAGGGATTCGCCTATGCGTACATCTCTTTTCTGGAAGGCAGAAAGTGCTGAGCGCGCCGTGGTTGGCTGACACTGCGCGGAATACTGTAGACTTGAACGGACATGCATTGATTTGAAGGCTCCGACGTTGGCGTAGTCTTCCTGTCAACGGCATCAGACGGGGAGCAATTCTACGCCATCTCACAGCAAGCTGCCATCGCAACCGGGATACAATTGGAGCTGGGGGGAAGGTCTTCCGGTGCGCGGGTGGCCTTTGCACCAGGTAAAGGATGTCTTGAAGCAGCCGCGTACTCAGTACACTGTAAACGCTCGAGACAATTTCAGTGCTTCCAATGCAAGGAGCGTGTTCCAGACTTTAAGTGTTTCAATCTGCAGGCCTGGCCTTGCAGAAGGCATTGAAGAGGCAATATCAAAGAGCCAGCATCTGAGTCAGAGATTGCTAACTATGTGATATGCTCGGTACTGCTTCCTACCATCGGTCCAGGTTTGGCTTGCCATATTTGCAACTGATGCAACATGATCCAACATGATGCAACTGCTTTCCAGGTCCGATTGATTTGGCCTCAGTCTCCAGAGGCACGTTCAATGCGCGCACCTTGAAGGGCTTGGACAGACTCTAGACGTGGCCGTAGCATGATGTAGCTACTGGATACATGCGGTGTACAGCTGCACAGCCCGGCCTAGTATAACGCGGTACGAGGTACAAGCAGTTCTTGCTCAGAGAGACATTAAAGCCGCTTTGGCTTTTTCAATTCATGTCAGAGTCCATTGACACTAAGGCTTCTGCTGAATCCAGCCCAGGCATTCTTTGGAGTTTGGATCCTGAATATCTCATGTTTTTCAAATGTTTTCAATCTGGGAGGCACGAGAGTCCCAAGACGATCACTTCTTGCCACCACTGTCACCTGGCATCAAGGAAGGCTGTCTCATGATATCTCATGCTTTCCAGGCTTGAATCGAAGCGCTTGCTGAGGCTCCTGCAAATCCACAGTGGCAGTCTTCCCGGCAAAAAAGATGACAAATGCCAAGATTAGCAAGGAGTTTGAGTGTCTCGATAAATAACACATTCTCTTCTCAGCAAGAACTTTGAGTGTGTTGTATGGCGAGACAAAGACCCTCAAACTTCTTGCGAATCCTGCATCTCTATCTCGACAACCCGCTCGTGGTCTGAGCTTGCCAGGTTGCTGGAGGGTGTTATACATGCAGCGTGACCCTGGCGCGTGTTTGTGTGAGAGACAGGTAAGTGTGCTGTTTCCAAGGGCTCGCGCTTTTGGGGTTCAGGCCGAAAATGTCTGAGAAGATCATGCATAGTTTGCATCTCGAACAAACAAATTCGTCTAAGCTGTTGCAACTGTTCATACATTCAATACACGAGAATGCTCGTTTCTTTTATGGATACTGCGTGATCGCATCTAGTCGCCTTTTGTGACTAGGCTGGCGGGCGGCAATATAAGACACTCTAAACATGTTCCGGGAATGTTTCGTCGCGAAACACGTATTAGCTCTTTAAGTCGATCTACAGTATATCAAGCTGTTGATCTCGGCAATTCGCTACCCATTGTTTTGCTATGGGGCCATTTGCGACTTGGCATCCTGACCAAGAAGGTACTACGTGCCGGCTTTGCAGCAATACTTTTCCTCGCAAATCACAGAGCCAGGAGCTTATCATGTTCAATATATGTTTCGACAGGGCTTAGGATTGTCACGTCCTGCGTCGAGGGCATACCAGTCGAGACGGAGAGTGAAAATGCTTTTCCGAAACTACGGACGTTGCCGTCAACTTCTGCGCAATGCCAAAGCCGGCCGCTGAGCACTGTGTGACCACATGCTTGTTGCGCGGTCTTGTGCGCATTGCTGATATGTCCAAGGTGCCTTGCCAAATATGTGTTGCGACGGACCATGAGTGCTGCGCTCAAAGTTGACTGCAAGCCCTCCGATCTTGTGACGCCATAGAAGTATCATCATAGCTTGCAACTGCCTACAAGGGCCTACAAGCTTGTCTCAGGTGTTTCTATGTGTCCATGGCAGCTGACTACCAGCTTTTTTTATCCGTTCCACGTGGAATTTCAACCGGAGTCATTGCCCAGTTTGGCTCTCAGTTGCATGATGTTGCATGCTGCAGTGAATGGTACAATGTGGTACACATTGCAGATTGCGACCTCAGTTACATAAGATTACTGCTTTGCAATGCCTAGCTACTTTGTCTGAGGTTTTACCACTGGGTGCGAAGTCAGGAGTCTCACATCTTCCTGCAAATTTCCACTTGGTGAAGCTGACCGTCTGCTGTCTTTGAGAAGAGCATTGTTAAAACTGACGATGGATGGCAGCACCATGCAGCACTGTATCGACGTTGTGCCATGTTGTGCCTGTTGGTGCTAAACCACGTCTGCATCACGCATCTCATGCTTCGGAGACAGGGCATCAACGATCCCTCACGCTTTCAAAGCCATGTGGGCTACACGAAGGCCATCCAATCAAACTTGCAGCCTATCTTCCTCTTGAGCTTTTTTTCGTCTGTTCAATCAAGTGTGCATCGGCAAGGGGCTGCACCCAAGAAAATTAGCTGTAAAGCTTACCTAAGCCTCTGCAGTCTTGCCCGGTATTCCGATTGCCTTGCGTGGACATCAACCGCAGGCGCCATCTCCAAGGGCCACTAGCAGTCGTCGTCGAGTCGCATTTCTCCTCCCCCATTTGGAAAATTCCCTCTCTCTCTCCCCCAGAGAAACGTGTAGTGAATCCATGAGCTGTTGTTCTGCTTCTGACATGTCTGCACACTGGTGACCACCAGGTCTGGCAAGAAGCCCCTTGTTGCGATTCCCATTTCCGAATGGCCGCGGAAGATGCGCCGGAGATACCGCAAAAATAATGTGATCCTGTCATCATCTCGTGCTGCATGTGTGGATCCGGGATCGGGCGAAGCGGCGGAGCTGTGTGCGTTCGCGGCGATATGTTCACATACTCCAGCTCGACCCCAACTTCAAGCCTGATGTGGGCTCGCGCCACAACATGCGACATGCGCGGAGGTGGGTCGGCCGCCGTCAAGTGATGCCAAGCGCATCCGCTGGCCATGGCAACCTGTTCCTGCTGCGACTATGAACACAACTGCGCCTGGAATGCGCTTGCAAAGTGCGAATCCTAAGCAAAGGGGGCCGGACTCCGAATTACGATTGCAACTTGGAGGGTGGAGCAAAGAAGCGTGCCGAAACAATCCGCATCGACCAGAAATGGAAGCGCCGAACGCATGCGCACACCAGCGAAGAGAGGAGCTAGAGTGCAATCCCCGTCGTTAGAGCAGCTCATAGCATCTCGCCATCACTAACCACCATTCACCATGCTGCCATGATACATTGTCTTGACATGCCATGACGAGCACAGCATGGGCACGAAGCTGAGATTGATGTTGCACAACCAGAGCCCTATCGTGGCTCAATGGCGCGCTGAAATCATGCGACCCAAGAAGATCAGGCTCATCAGGCTGAAGCCTGGCAACAAGAATTTGGGGCAGTTTTGCTTGGTTTTACGTTTTGGTCCGCAGTACCAGTTTTTTCCATTTTGGGACTTCCAGAAAGACCGGTGCAGTTGAGGTCAACGTGTGTTTGGACGTTGTTTGGAGGTTGGCTTGAATCTGTAGACTGTAGAGGTTGCTCAATGCTTTATCGATATGACCGGAGGCCAGGGTCTGGATCCATGTGTTGAAGCCAGAAACCAGTAGAGATGCTGATGGTTACCCCGCTTTTTCGCATCCTAAAGCCAACATGGTCTTGGCAGACCTCGGCTCTCCCCAAGGCCCAAGCAACAGAGTGCTGCTACCTGTGCGCTGGTTGATGTGTGTCGTTCCTGAAGGGCTGCCGTGGGCTCAAGTTGCTGAATGATATGACGCCTATCAAGGAGAGCCAATGCCTCCCAAAGGTCTTAGATCCAGCCACTGGTCGGCATTGGTCGGCAACGTCCGTACCGGTGATGTTGTGATGTCCTTGGCGCGGGATTGTGGAGTTGACATCCTTTTGAGGTGAGCAGCAGAGAAGATGGGTACCTGTTTCGGCGAGCGCTGCCAGAAGCAAGGTACCGTGCTTTGCAGATTCGTGCGGAAACAGAACAGCCGCGAACAAGCTAAGAAGCATCAAAACAACGATGAACGTAGCAGCACCCCGGTTTGATAAAGGTCGAAACCAGCTTCGGAGTTTCGGGGAACTTGTCGAGCTGGGAGTCGGGCATCGTAAAACCGAACATTTGCCTTCATACAGGGTTTTACGAAGAAGCGCACCTGGCAAGCGAAGGCGGGGGTCGTTTTTGCGGCCAGATGTGCTGCCAATCCAGCGCAGAAGGGGGTGGATCCCTGTTGTGCGGTGATGTGCACCAAGTCTGCCATGCTAGCTCATGCCACGAGCAAAGGGCGGCCACAGCATAAGGTAACCGCCTCCCCACGTATTGATTCGATGCTTGTGGCTTGCAACAAACTGCAACTGTGGATCCTTCTGTGAGTAGGTTCTCGAGAAGCAGAACTCCGAGACCAAGGTGCGGTTGTTTCGCACTTGTGTCTGTATCATTAATGATGTCAGCCCAGCGTCCCGTGCATGCAGGAGTCACAGGAGAAGAGCTTGCCCGACGAAGGCGGGAATGTGATTTCGAAGCAATGATGTCGCCTTGTTGCGATGCCAGGCGGTTGCAAAGAGCCGGCTCGGTCCCTGATACAAATGCAGACGGCTTAGGGTGACACATATTGAATGTGGTTGCTTCGTGCCAAGGATGGTCGTGGATCTCGCGAGCAAGAAGTGCAGTCCGGCTTTCAGAGTGCACATTTACCATGAACCCTTTGAGAATCCCAACCGCTGAGGCCACGACAGATGACCTTACTTTCGGAGCATGCCAGTGAAGGGCAAAACTCGGAAGGAGTTGTCCAAGAAACAGCATCTACCGAAGGGATGGGAGGCCGAAGCTGGTTGCAATGACACATGGTTGATGTTGCCCCAGGATGGTGATGTACAGCTCGAGGGAGCCCCGTGCAGGCTCTAACGGCCATCTCACGGGTTCAGCCCGTTTCCCAAAGGCACGTTTTTTGGATCGTTTTCCAGGCATCTCCAGCAAGAGTGGCTCTTTTGCTTTTTGCTTTTGTTGTTCCTTGAGAGGCAAGCACCAATGTGGGCACAGGCGTAGATGTCCTAAGCCCAATTTTTGCACCGTGCATATCCGTGCATCTGATGTTCGTTGATGAGCTGTTGTGACTTTCAGGTCGATGCCATTTCTGTTGGCCTTTTTGAGAGCTTTTACAGAGAGCGAATCGATGTCCAGGCAGGTTTTGGATTCTGACTCGGACTCGTCTTGAACACGTGGCAGACAGGCCTTTGTTGCTCTCATCCGACGTTTTTCGCACGAGAATGAAAGCCAGCTGTCTGAGCCTTACCATGAACATCAAGAAGCAAGCTGCATGATCACTCAGCGCCGGCACGAGGCGGCGCATTCATCAAAAAGTCGTGTTGCTTCTCATGGAAGATTTTCAGTCGCTGCCACACTGGCCTGAAAAAGAGCTGGTCTCCCAGACATTTCAGGGAAAGTTCGAGGTAAGTCCAGCAAGAAAACAACACGTTTGGTTGAAGTTGAAGGCTTCTCCGGACCGGTGAGCTCATGGGCCAACTCATCCGCCGTCACCTGAGCTACAGCTGCGGAGACCAGGAATGAGTCTCGAATGTTTCTCGACGTCTCATCCTGTTTGGGCTTTCCAGACTCGGCAGTCCACACATCGTTCACTGAATTGAAAGGATTTCTTTCATGGCGTGTCTAACGATCGGTTGCTTAATGTTTCAGTTATGCTACAGTTATGTTGTCGAATCCATGCTTGCTGCAGTGGTTGTCCACACAGAAGCTAGGTTGGAACTTGATTCCAGATCACGGCCCTTTGCAAAGGACATTGCCCTGTCCTCATGCAAGTGGTGTCTCATGAATGCTAAAGTCCTTTGGCCCCGTGATGCTTCCTGCAGTGGTTGTTGTCATGCGTGGTACTTTAATGTATTGTGCTTTAGTGGTTGTGAGCATCGAGGTGCTGCATGCTGCATGCCCTCAAAGAGCCGGCGAATAGCTTGCTGCACAGGCTCAAGACACTTTGGATCCATTCTTTGCGAAAAGACTTAGCATGTTGCCGCAGTCGGAGTGGACAGCATTCAAGAATTCAAGAGATTGCCAGGTTTGGGCATCGAGTACTTGAGCAATTCAGGTGGCATCCTAAGACATGCCAACATAACAACGAGTGCAAGAGTTTCAGAGGAGGACAGCAACGGGGTAAGGAAACTTCACAGAGGGACCCACATACCTGTGAAGTAGCCTGTGGGTTCAGTCTGGCATTCGACTTATCAGGCCTTTCTTGCACCCGATGCCGCAGATGTCCATGTTGGCATCTTTTTTTCCACCCACGCTTACCATTGATATTTCCTCTGCCTCTCTGTCCGTGGGACGGACGATGCCGTCCTCCGAAAGAGAATCTGCATCGAAGTTACCTCTGAGACATCGACGCTCTCGTGACCAGCGAAGCTACTTGTAGTTTTAGGTATGGCAGCTGGGCCTGTCGTAATTCGCAACACATCGAGCGTGTTTTAGGTTCGCTCGACACTAGAAGTGTGCATTCTGCGAGTTCCTTGGATTCGCAGTGTAAGCATGCCGTTGCTACGTCAGGACCTCCTTGTTTGAGCCGCTAGCAGCGTGCCGGGTGGGTTCCGATGCCTGCTGGAGGGTGCGCTGATCCCTTCTTCATGAATCGCAATGAGCCTCAGCCTCATGCCCTTTTCTCCAAGACGCGTCAGCTGTGCGACTCCCTGCCTCACCCTTCTCGCCCAGCGCTTTCCAGCTTGAATTCCAAAAGGAGGGGACAATGACTCAGTCCCCTGGGAAGCCGGGCAAGAGAGTTTAGGCTCGGCTTGCTGGGAGTCGCCACTTTCTCATCTTTAACGAAGAGGGCACCCCGATATCCGGTAACAAAAGCGGGGTGGTGCCACATGAGGGGCTGCCAGTTGGCCGGACTGCGTTGAAAGGTTGCTTGCGGCCGTGTTGCGAAGGCCAGCGCCTGGAAGTGCTGCCCGGTTCCTGTGCTCACTCAAGCACACCACGCAACACAGCAAGCTTTGTGGTACCTTGTCGTGTTCCAGCTTTTTGTTTTCAGCTTCGACAGCTCTTTCAGCTTAGGCTTACAGTCTGTCCACATGTGGTAACTACCAGCTTGCTGTTTGCATGACGCGCACCAGGCGTTGTGCTGCCTGGCCTGCGAGCCATTCGAGCTCTTGTGCAAGGTCTGCGAGACCCTGCTCATGAGTGAACCTGTCACAAGCACAACGCACAAAACAACCCTGCCATGTTCCCAACTCACCAATCACTCCCTTGTTCGCCTGTCAAGGAACCCCACAGAAACTACTATCTTGGTCTAACCGTTCACACGCCATCAACAACCTCTCCATGGCAGTTCTATTGTCTTCATGTCTTGGTCCGTGAATTCACTTCGTTCTATCCCGGGTGATTGGCGGTTTGTGCGTTACGTTCACATTCTATTAATATTGCGTGCTTTCATTACCAATATTAATATAATGTTCTCTTCACACTATAACCTCTGTCTCAGGGAGTGATTCATGATGGACAGGGTGCTTACTTCTCCTTGCGGTAACTCTAGAACAAGTGAACCAGCCTGGCGGACTATCCCGGTTAATACTGCATCCGTGAACAAGATTCCTGCGTCATGAAGGTTTTCTTGTCTTCCTTCACTCACACGCCCCCACACAATAATTATAATGAAAAGGCAAAGAATGCACGCTTTTCATATAATTATTGTTGGGGCCCCCTTTATAGTATTGCAAGCGTGCACAAGTTTACCTTGTAATGGCCAAAGTCTCCACTGTGCGCGGAAAGCAAGGAGCGAATCCTCCATCCTGTTCTGCCCAGCTCTTGCGAGACAGGTAGAGGCGTAAAGCCCACCATTTACTGTTCAAAGCCCGAACCTGACCAATGTACCAGTCCAAGCAAACTCTCTTTCTCGCAGTGCTTTGTCTTAGTCTTGAAGTTGACACATGGGTTGCGTTCAAAATTCGCGTGTCTGCTCAGTTACTTTAATTTACATTAATTGGTTTGGCCGGTCTATTTTCATGTCTTTGCTATAAGGCGGCACCGAGGGGGATCCCCTAAAACCCCAGTGTGGCGCTAGGAAAACGCTAGGTTCGCGCTAGGTAAAATCAACAAATATTATTTCAAATCTCGCATGTCACCACCAAACGAACCCAACAGAGATTGATTGAGGAGGCCCAGCCAGGCGCACCACCCGAAATATGCGTACAACATCCGGGGTGGTGGAATAACCCCACGCCGTTGCCAGGATAGAGGTTCTTCTAGGAAAACCGATGACAAGAAAGAAACGATATTCTTGTTATACTTGGTACATTTGCTGCTCCTGGCTTGTTTTCGTCGTTCATCACGTCGTAGTATCAGATCTTGGAAATCCGGCACAGTGTTTTGCGCTAGCGCCGCGCTAGCACGGCGCTAGCAAAATGTCAGCGCAACCTCCCCCAGCAGACCATGGCCCATTCCTCCTTTAGCAGACCACAAAGCAACACCATAGAACCGAGAGTGCTATGCTTGCTGGAGCTCGAGCCCCCGCAAGTGGCGACAGCGGAGAAACCTGCGCTCGCGCCAGAACTCCAGCAGTAGCAGTATGTAGCAGTAACACTAGCAGTTCTTGTGACGACTCGTCCGACAGCAGCGCCTGAAAAATGGTCCGCGCTAGCACCCTTTCTGGGAAATCATGCTTGGATCCTTCAAATGTCGCGTTTGCTACTCCATCTCAATCAGCTTCTTTTTCCTTCAGGACATAACTCGGCACCGAGGGAGTTCCGATTTAACGTCAGTTTCGGGAACAAGCATTCTGACAACAACCCACATGTTGACACTGGGACATTTTGGGATATGTTCCGATTCCGACATGTCGAAGCTTCAAATGCATGCTCTGCTCGGTACAAAACGACGACGTTTGGTTCGATGCATCACCTACATCATGAGAAGCGGGACAAAAGGAGCATCGGCAACATCCGACAAATGTTTCGGCTCAAACGGCCATGATCCAGCACATGTTGCCACAGGACTCTTTGAGCTCGGCTCTAACTTATAGTGATTATGCAATGGACAAGTTCGGTGGGGTGAGCCGAGCAAGTATCCTCCTGTTCTTCCTGCGCCTCGCCCTCGTCGCTTTCATCAAAGTCACTGTCGTCCCGTCGTCCTCCTCTTCATTGTCATTTATGTTCGTTTTGTTCGTTTATGTTTGTGTTCTTATTTCCGAATCCATACTGCGTAGCTTGGAAAAGGGGGAATGTGTGGGTCCAGGATGGTCAGGGGTGATCAGGCGGGGAAGGCGAAGGTTGGTACAGGTGTTGGAGTTGCGATGTTTGCTTTCTCACAAGCTTTACACGAGATGCTGCTGCCAATGTTGAAGCAGCTTGTTGTGACTGATGTGAGGTCCAGGCTCGCGGACACCGACGTGGCTGCGATGCACCTTTGCTTGTAACCAGAAGAATTGAACTTTCTGAGAAGGCCCCATGAAAGATCGTGGGGCGTTCTTATTTCACGGAGGGAGGGGTTTAGAGAGAATTAGAGAGAGGGGGCTTTGAGAGCCCGAGGCTAGCCCGGCACATCGTCCAACCCAGCCTTCGCCTCGAGGCGCTCGAGAGCTGTGTGTCGGACTGTCGAACAGCATGAGTACTTGTAGCAGTAGCAGTAGCAAGCAGAACGCACTGTGAGTTGCAGAGCTATGGGTGAGAGCGCAGTGAATGCCACCCTGAGTGGGCGTGGTGCGACGGTGCCCCACGGATCATACCCCTTGGGTGGCAATTTTTTTCACGTTGGCTTGGTCAGGATGAGGACCGCTGGGAGGCACATGTGTTGATGGGGAGACATGCGAAGCACTCCCGATACTGCCAAAGCATGCTTCCATTTCCAAGAATCTAGCTGAACCCACCTGCGAATGTTGACTTTTTTGCCAGGTCAAACAGCGCTCAATGCGCGCAACGTGTCCTGACAGCATTGGGTGCACGGCGTCTCGTTGGCCACAGAACTTGTTCTCGTTCTCGCAAGTTGCAGGTCCACTTCGGCATTTGATCCAGCAGCAACAACAACATGTCCGGCAAGATAACTCCGCACCGTTGTGCGTTATTGTTGTTTGCATGACAGATCGGAATCGGCCAGAAGTCACTCTGTGTTCGGCATTTGAAGAACAGAAACGTTGGTGCTCATTGATGCTCACTGCCGGCTGCTCCACGGTCCTCTAGGGACCAAATAGCGATAAGGCGCGTGCCGATGAATGGCGCTGTGGAGCAGCAATTGCCGCGCACGAGCGTGAATCAAACGCAGGTGGCACGCTCCCCGGAGTTTCTTGTACGAAAGAGCTTTGCTGATTGTTATCCTGGGCAGGTCTCTCAGACCCTGCTGGCTAGCGTGCCAAGCAGTGTGCCATTGCGGTCACAAGGCAGAGGCGTAGCACGCCGCAACACAAATGTGACATTCATGTCGGCCCCTGGGCTTTCTGTGTATTTCTGTGTCAGCAGGCATCCAAGCCGCGGGCGTGACGTGGATGCAGTTGCCTGAGCATCCTTTGGAAAGATGGGAAAGCGCATGTTGTAATGCATTTTTCCCGAAAATGCCTCTTCTACAGAAGCTGATGTTCGGGGAAAATGTGGGGGTGGAAAGTCCGGAAAGGGCAAGGCTCCAAGTCTTGAAGCCAGTGTGAACATTCCATACAGTTGGATGCCGTCCTTGTGCCTTGCACACTCCACAACTCCCCACTACTACGAGAACTTCCCATGCCTGCGGAGATGCTCCAAACTGCTCTTCTTTTTGAAAACTCGATGAGATAGTATGCATAGATGTTGATAGTATTCTTGAACTTGACTGCATTGCGGCATGCTGACGGGTCACACATACAGGGCGGGGACTGTGGCGGATGACACATCCCAAGTCTGTCACAGTGGTTCCTCAACACGTCTCCTTCTCGGAGCAGAGGTTTGGAAAGCAAGAAAGTTTATGATTCTAGCAGCTTCCTCTTCGTACCCAGGATCTAAACCGAAGGTCTGGCATGCGAGAGTTTTTTTTTCGGGGGGTGGCTAGCAGGCAAGAAAACCAAAGACTTCATTGCGCCACCGCAGGGCGGGGTCGGTGGATTCGTAGATAGTTTGGCTCACACTGCTCAGATGATGCGGTAGTTGTTGCTGCTGATGATCAACATGATGGTGACGATGGTGACGATGATGACGATGATGACGATGACGACCATGCTCATCATCACCTTGGCTGCTGTTTGCAGCCATGCGTTTCAAACATGACTGCAGCCGCCTACATAGAGCATGTCTAAGGGGCTGTCGCCCATAGCCGGGCACGCCCGCACCGACTAGAGCAAGGGCGTGGGTGCAATGGGAGGAGCAAGAGCAAGAACAAGAACGAGAACAAGAACAAGAAGAAAACATATCAATTATTTTACTTCGAACATCCCCACCCTCTCTTGGTAGAGATACTCTGGGGTTGGGCACTCCCGGCACACTCTGGGGTTGGGCACGAGACTCTGGGGTTGGGCCTGTAGGGAAACGCTGGGGCTGGGCACTCCGGGGGACACTTTCAGGAGACTCTGGAGACTCTGGGGCTGGGCACTCCAGGGAGACTTTGGGGCTGAGGAATTTTCGGGGCGGGGGGGGGGGGGGGGGCACTCCAAAAAAATATCTGGCGTTGGGGGCACTTCGGGGACACTCTGGGACACACTAGAGTTGGGCACTCCAGGGACACTTTGGGGTTGAGGAGTAGACCGGGCGAGGAGAAGAGTTCCGGGCGAGGAGAGTTCCGGGCGAGGAGAAGAGTTGAGTTTAAAATCTAACAACCCCACACCGAGGGTGGGGAACAAGAAAGAACAAGAAGAGCAAGAGCAACAAGAACATCACGAATGACAAGAACAAGAATCAGAAGAAGAATTATATTAAAGAACAAGAATAGCAAGAATAAGAATACTAAGAAGAAGACAAATAACAATGATAGTACTAATAACAATAGCAGTAACAAGACCAATACCACGAACAAGACCAATAACAAAAGCAATGTCAAGAACAATATTCTCACGGACAATAACAATAACAACAAAAACAATAACAACAACAAAAACAATAACAATAACAATAACAACAACAACAACAACAATAACAAAAACAAAAACAATAACAATAACAATAACAATAACAATAACAATAACAATAACAATAACAATAACAATAACAATAACAATAACAATAACAATAACAATAACAATAACAACAACAACGATAACGATAACGATAACGATAACGATAACCATAACAACAACAAAAACAATAACAATAACAATCACAATCACAATCACAATCACAATCACAATAACAGTCACAATAACAATCACAATAACAATACCAATAGCAATAGCAATAGCAATAGCAATAACAAGAACAGGAACAATAACAATAACACCAACAAAAACAATATCAAACACCACAACAAGGAGGGAATAACGAGGACGGCAACGACGACGACCACGACGACGACGACGACGGCGGCGGCGGCGGCGGCGATGACGACGACGACGACGACGACGACGACGACGACGACGACGACGACGACGACGACGACGACGACGACGACGACGACGACGACGACGACGACGACGACGACCCCGACCCCGACCCCGACCCCGACCCCGACCCCGACCCCGACCCCGACCCCGACCCCGACCCCGACCCCGACCCCGACCCCGACCCCGACCTCGACCCCGACCCCGACCCCGACCCCGACCCCGACCCCGAGCGCGAGCGCGAGCGTGAGCGAGCGTGAGCGCGAGCGTGAGCGTGAGCGTGATTGCACCCGCGGCCGCGGCCGTGGCGGCGACGGCGACGGCGACGGCGACAGCGACAGCAACAGCGACAGCAACAACGAGACAGACAACGACAACGATGTCCCTTTCCAAGCGCGCCGTTAAGGACGTGCTAACGTGGTTCAGGAATGCTGAGGTGTGGGGGCATGCTTACCAAACTCCAGGAGTGCGATGGAGGGGTGGCTCCAGGGCAGTCTCCCATGGTGAGGGCGGTTTGGGCGTGCGCTGGAGCCCACCATGCTCCAGGAGTGCTAAGGTGTGGGCAGGGGGTGGGGTTGGTGGGAGGGTGTGGGAAGGCTGGCGCCGGCCCTTGAAAGGTGGCGGGGGTGTGGGTTAGGGCGCGCGTTGGAGCTCTAGTTTGCCATGCTCCAGGAAGGGGGTGGGCGTGCACTGGATGGAGCCCGTGAAAAAGTAGTTTACCATGCTCCAACAATTCTGAGGTGTGGGGGGGAGGAAAGACACGGTTTTGGCTAACGCCTCCCCCGGACCGGAGGGGTCGGCGGATTAGGCACATGCGATCAAGCTTGCTTTGCAGGTTTGGCAGCGTTGCCAAGGCATGTGTGCATGGCGTGAATATTACAGTACATTGCAGTTCACTCATTGCCCTGCAACGTCCGGCGCTGATGGCAACTAGGCAAGCTAGTGACCATTGCACCGTCCAGGCGCCACCACGCCAGCCGCCACGCCAGCCCAAGCAAGGCCCCGCTGGGATGCACAAAAATCATTAGACAAAAACCAAGACAAAAACGCACGTCCTGTCAAGCTGTGGACAGTTCTAAGGCTGGAACAGCCAACCAAAGTTTTTCAAATCAGTTTGAAGCCAGCCGACATACAGTTCCGTGTACATTGTTACTTGGGCTTCATGCCTCGCCCCCACACATTGGGTTCCAGTGGCGGGACACAAACTGCCCCACGAAATTTGGTCCATGGCAAGGCACGAAGGGGGTGGCCATGGGAAGGCTGTTTTCTCGACGTTTCTTTTCCACCAATCAGCAAGAGAATCAATGAGCGTATCTTCTAGCAAGACATACATCTCACGAAATGACTATTTGGGGCACTTCGGTGCCGCCTGCTTTATCGCTAGAGAAGCTGGCTGCATGAAAAAAGCGAACGGCACGAGAACATATGACAAAACGAGTTTGCGACCTGCCCGGTCGAGCTTGTGTGTGAGTTTGGTGGATTGATGGAGCTGTTTGGGAGCTGTGCATAGGTGCGACGGCGTGCGCGGAGGACACCTATAATGCTGCAACGCGCTGTTGCAGGTTTGCAGATGCAAGTGAGCTGGCATCCGGGCATTCATAGTCCACAGCTGCGATTGGCCTAGGCTGCGTTGTAAACTCCACCCAGCTCCTAACCTTGAGGGAAAGATCCTCTTGGAACAATTGGATTGTAGTTGTAGCTCCTTTGACGCTTGCGGCAACTACTTTGCTTGAGGAGAAGCGAGATCGCGATGCACGAGGTGACAGGGGACTTGTCCTGCTGCAGAACTGGGCTGCAGACATTCGTTTTCTATTTTTAATTTTTCGGACTTTTTGTTTTTTTTGTATTTCTTTTTGGTGGTTTTGCGGTCTGATGGTCTGCTGAGTCTGCTGGCCCGCTGGTCTGCTGGTCCGCTGGTCCGCTGGTCGACTGGCTGGTCCTTCTGATCCCCTCTCTGGTCTGCCTGTTACCCTAAAAGCTCAACGCAGAACGAGCAATGCATTTGGCTCAAGCCGGCCCGATTGGCACGAGGACTGCAGTGAGACAGCAAGCAGCTGTCTTGAGTGTTTTTTGTGAAAGACAGTTGATTGGTTAAGTTCGGTCGGTATTGAGTGCGGTGATTGTCCCTCGGAATTTTACTTAGTAGCGGAGCTTCGGCTCTGGGTCTACAAGAAAGAGAATGGATTTCGGAGTGAGAGGAGTCGGAAGAGAAATCGAACTGTTCCTCCCTCCAGTGTACCATGGTGAGCTAGAGGCCTTTTCTAAGCATTGCAGATTTTTTAGAGGCGACACGGGTAAGCCGCGACGAAAACTGAAGTCTTCAGGACGAGCCCTAAAAAGACCCTAACACAGGCCTTAAAGTGCTTGCCCAAGCCGGACAGCCTGCTGCGCAATCGCCTAACTTGTGTCTTTCGGGCCCCAAAGGACCTCCCTTGGCAGCCGTTGCCACCTGGATTTGCCTGGTTTGTGTGCCTTCAAACGAACCCCCCCCCCTCCCAGCGATTCGGAGACTTGCAGCAGGTTCACCCTTCATCTCTTAGCCTATCCGCCCCGGCCCCACGAGGTGTCTGCTGCCTGGACTGCTGCCCATCTTTCCCGTTCACCTGTTCGGCCCACTGGCCGAAGTGCCTCCTGCTCCCCTTGGGTCGTCGATTAGCTTCAGGAGCACACCGAGCTGCAGTGGGGCTGAATCGCCGAGCCTGATTTCGTCACGCCAGTTTTGCCACAGCTCTGCCAGCCATGCTGGACCTGCTCGTCGCAGTGTTCCCGAGACGGCACGATGTGTCAGCAGGATATGCAGGCATTCTTCCAAAAACGCTGAGCCATGGACCTCGTGTCTAGAGAGCTTGACATGCTCTTCGTGTCCCCACTGTTTGGGGCCTACGTTGGCCTAACAAAGTATGTTGTCATGGTGTTTACTGCGTGTGTAAGGAGGTTAGGTCACACGGAAAAAGCAGAAGCAAAAGAAGAAGAAGAAGAAGAAGAAGAAGAAGAAGAAGAAGAAGAAGAAGAAGAAGAAGAAGAAGAAGAGGAAGAGGAAGAGGAAGAGGAAGAGGAAGAGGAAGAGGAAGAGGAAGAGGAAGAGGAAGAGGAAGAGGAAGAGGAAGAGGAAGAGGAAGAGGAGGACAATGAAGAAGAGGAGGACAATGAAGAAGAAGAGGACAAGGAAGAAGAAGAGGGATGCGACGTCAAAACAAAAAAGGGAAGAAAAAGGGGGGGGGGGGGAGGCGGGGTGGGAGGGGGGGGGGAAAGGGGGTGGGAAGGGGGGGTGGGAAGGGGGGGTGGGAAGGGGGGGGTGGGAAGGGAAGGGGGGGTGGGAAGGGGGGGTGTGAAGGGGGGGTGGGAAGGGGGGGTGGGAAGGGGGGTGGGAGGGGAAAGGGGGGGGGGGGTGGGCGGTTGCTTATGAAGCCGGCTTGTATATCTAGGCGTGCTTTGGTTGACCCCAGCTTGCCCCTCAAGTAGAGAGATGTTTCCCAAGTACATCCAAGGCATCTAGGCAACAGCACCCCCAAGCCAAAGAAAAGTACAAACAAATATGCCCCAACAAAAGTCCACCCATATTCTGGTCAGGCAAGCAGAACAAGCGCAGTTCTGTCCTGTCCTGAGCACTTGATGTTTGTTCGGGTTCCGTCCACTTTGAGTCAGAAACAAGTCAGAATTGCGAGGCAAGGAGGAAGAATGCTACAAACCAGGATCGCCCACCGCTCGGTCTTATTTCAGTCCAGGGGACCCTTGTATCAAAGCACTTTGCCGGTTTGTTTCGCTGCTCAAGGTTCTGGCCAAAGCACAGTTTGGCCAACTTTCATCGAGGTGGAGCGCAGGGTTTTCTCCCAAACTTGGTTTTCCCTGTGCCCCCAGTTTCAGCTCATGCGTTGACTGCTTAGCCAATACTTGAGATTGGTGGTGAGACCTTGTCGAGGTTCGCAGTTGGAACCCGTTCAGATCGTACAGAGCTTTGTGTTCAGACACAAAGGTAGAACTCGACACGCTGAAGTTCTGCCTGACGGACGAGGATGTGGAGGTGGAGCATCCAAGGTGAAAATTGGGAGTTGCTACGATTTCGCAAGAATTTTCGAGGCTCGTGCGGATACGTCTGCTCCAGTTCCTGCCAACGTTTCGGACGAACCTGGAGCCACTCCAACTGCTGCACAGGCCAGGACATGTCAGGACTCCACATGCAGCATCATGCAGCTGTGCAGTTTCCGCACGCGCGCTTGCCGATGGCGTGCAGGCAGCTGCAGTGAGCCACTGACTTGTAAAGGTAGCGTGTTGCAAATAGTTTCTTCAATCCGTGGAAGCAAGGTTTCAAGAGTCTCACCTGCAACGACATGTTGTTTCGAAGTATACCTTTATCTTAGAGCGCGGACATTGTACAGCGCCACACCGCCATATACGACCTCCTTGCAGAAGAACGATGTTGGAAGCTCGTTGTTTTGTCACTTAACTGAGCTGGTCTGCGTGGCACTCGTTCGCTATTGAACGCTTTGACCTTGACGTGGCTCATCAACGACCCGAAGCCCACTCATATTGCCGTGAGCCGTGTGCACCTGTCATGTTTGTCACGTGGAGGAAGGTAAATCTGAGGTGTGTGAGGTTCATAGTCGCCTAGGAGTCAGAAAATCGTTATTGCACAGCTACGTCTGCACCAGGTACATGCGCCATGCCTTAGGGCTGGTCTTGACCTGTAGAAAAGTTCTGGCCTCAGTCCCTCGAGCATTGGCCAGCTCGGTTGGGAGCAGCTATGCACTTTTAGCAGTGAGCATCTCGTTTTTACTCTGCATTGTTTTCCATACGCAAGTTTCCAGAGGAACCACCGTTGGCTTCTCAATGCCTAAGTCCGCTGCACTTAAAGAGACGAACGCTCGATTTCCACAGCGTGCGTGCTGAGGGCTCCAAAAGTCGAGGTTTCGTCTGACGTTACCATCGTGCCGCCTCGTAGGTTTCATGGAATAGAATCTAAAACACCAGACTGGGAAAGGAACCACGAAGAATAGGCCCGGAGGGCCCGACACAAGTTTGCCGATTGTTTCATGCTACAAATTGAGATTGGGTAGATGTGGGCGTAGATGTGGGTCTGCGAACCGTGAGATTTGCATCTGGCAGCGAGGGGGCTAACCGTACTGAACATTCTATGCACGGCAGTCATGGGCCGGTTTCTGCAGCGTTCACCGTTTTGAGATATGTAGTCTTGACAAACTGCTCAGGTAGGTTCGTTTGCAGCCGCTGCCACTGCAGAATTCCTGGTCAGCCTGGCAGCTTACCAGTGTTCCCTTGGCATGCGGTGTTTCCATCACTTGCTGGTCATGTGAGTTGAACTGGTAGCAATGGCGAAAATGGCGAAAGCACAAAGATTTCTTGAGAAGTGGATTGTGATGCTCAGTCGGTGGGTGTATATTTTTCCTTTCAAGAACGCTGCTTTCTGTACGGAGAAGCCTTGACCGGTATGCGGTCGGAATCATCAGTTCTCATGCAGTGGCTTTGATTTCACGGCAGCAAGACCTGTCCTAGCTGTCCTCAAGTCGGCATCGGTCAGGGGCAGGACAGGGTTGCGAGACGCGATAGCATTGACAGCACACGTGCTCAGCTTGGCCGTCGGCGATTCACGAGAATGCGAGCTGCTCCGGAAAGTGGTGCGGCTCAGCTGACGCGGACTCAGCTCGATGTGTTGGTGGTAAGGGTTCGCTTAGCAACATTTTTTGGATCACTTGGCAACATGCTTTCTTGGGTCCTGGGCAGCATGCCAACCTGAACCCTAAACCCTCCACCCTGAACCCTAAATCCTAAACTCCGATGTGGCTAAGTGATCCGGAAGAAAAGTGTTGCTAAGTGATCCTCCAACCTCTTGGGTGTTCTAGTTGGCATTTGATGGAAAGCCATCGAAGGCCTCGCCTCTACCACGACGTCAATGTTGTGGCCTCAATGGTGGCCATATGTGAATCGATGCTCGGGCCATATGCATCATATGCCCACTCTCGTAGCGTAGCAGGTCAATCGACCACGCGAGTATTGGGACTATGAGAACCTTTCCGTGAACTGGGGGCGCCTCACATGCAACAAATAGTGTGTGCCTGGAACGTGCCGGACCAAACAGAGCCTGCAAAATTATATATGCCATTATCTTCAGTTGTTGGTGCCACAGGTCTCTGCAGTGGTTAGCCCAAGAAGTTAGCAGGGTGTGTCAGTAGGTTAGATGCCGTTCTAAAATTTCGACAGATGAGGCTGCGAATAAGTTGCGTATGCTGGAGTTCTCGGACTGAGGTGTCAGGACGACTATGAAGTCCTCCGCAAAGTGGGCAGGGGCAAGTACAGCGAGGCTATTCTATGAGTTGCTTAGTTTGCTTGTCATGCTCTGGAGCTCATGCCATTTTTTCTGCAGGTGTTTGAGGGCATTCACATGGCGACGCAAGAAAAATGCGTCATCAAGCCTGGGACACAATGCGGCGATCACGTGCTGGCACTAGCATGTGTGTGTGAGATTCCTGAGCGCTGACATGAGCTTGGCCCCCCCTGGCCCAGGATTCTGAAGCCAGTCAAGAAGAAGAAGATCAAACGTGAGATAAGGTGGCTTGTCCCAGGCTCTCGACAATATTCTCGCATATTCTGGCTGTGTTGCAGGATCTTGCAAAACCTCTACGGTGGTCCGAACATCGTGCGGCTGCTAGATGTTGTCAGAGACCCTCAGTCCAAAACTCCCAGCCTAGTGCCATGCTCAGCATGCACCAATGGCTTGCTCATAGCCGCATGTTGCGGTGTCCTGTTGTGCCATTTGTGTCTGAGTTGACACAAGTTGACATTGGCTTTTGATTGCTGAGGTCTTTGAGTACATCAACAACACAGATTTCAAGCAACTTTACCCCACCCTCACCGACCACGATATCCGATACTACATCTTCGAGATTCTGCGGGCATCACGGCCTGAGCAGAGTCTGTACACGGCAACCTTCAATTTCATGCATGCTGGCAGGCTCTCGACTACTGCCACTCTCAGGGAATTATGCACAGGGACGTCAAGCCGCACAATGCCGCTAGGTTGATTCTATAGTGGAGCTGAGTCGAATCAAGCCATGTCATGCGTCACGCAACGTCCCTCTCATGAGTTTACAGAGTTGAAGGTCATGATTGACCACGAGAACAGGAGCCGGCACTGTGCTTGCGTGACAGCGCTTGTTCACAGAGAGAGTCGTATCCATGTTCCATTCGTGATCAGGAAACTCAGGCTCATCGACTGGGGACTCGCGGAGTTCTATCATCCTAACCGTGAGTACAATGTCCGGGCTGCTTGCTGAGATCCTTCCACGCTCACAATCTTGTTGCGACAGTTGGGGCAACACCGCCTGCTTCATGCTTAAAGGTTGCTTCCCGATACTACAAGGGTCCGGAACTGCTGGTTCGCTGCTTACCTACGTCATACATTTGGCCCAAAAAAGCAATGTGCAGCATGCACAGGTGGACTTGCAGCTCTATGACTACTCTCTGGACATCTGGAGTCTGGGCTGTATGCTTGCTGGCATGGCCTGCACCCCAGAACCTGCCCCGTCAGTAAGCCACAGTAACCATCAGTAAGCCCCTTCAGTAAGCCCCTTCAAAACATGCCGTCTTTGCCATTGCTTCGCCCAATACTCTTTGCAGGTGTTCCGAAAGGAGCCCTTCTTCCATGGCCAGGACAACTACGACCAGCTGGTAAAAATTGCCCGCGTTCTTGGTTTCTACCTGAGCATATGCCTTCAAATCAATGAGATCCTGCATTCGGTTCCATCCTGGCTCAGGCACGGATGGCTTGTTCGCCTACCTGGACAAGTACAACCAAGAGTTGGATCCACATTTCGACCACATACTGGGCAGGCGAGCCTTGCGCAACATGACCGGGAGATGTGCAGCTGTCTGGCGTCTGAGGCATTCAAGGAAAGCTTGGTCAAAGTTCGTGACATCTGAGAATCAGCATCTCGTGAGGCAGTCACTCTTGAGGTTGCTTATAGAAAGGTGCTCGAAGCTGTTCCATGCATCGAGCCCTGCTACCAGTCTGGACGTGCTGGACCTCATAGACAGAATGTTGGTGTACGACCATGCCCTGATCCTAGTTGACAGTATTTTGCACCGGCTTGAGCGGCAACGCAAACAGTCCAAGGCACAACGGATCTTGCCCAAAGAAGCGATGCAACATCCCTATTTCGCACAGATCCGGGTCACTTGATTGCGAGAGAAACATGAGAGTCCACATGATAAAAGGCATGTGAACTTAATAAGACATGTGGCATCCCACAGGAGTCCAGCCCGAAGGCCGCAGCAGCTGCATCTGAGATGCCAAAGGTGTAGGTCAACGATTGAGGCCTTAGCTTTGAGAAGGTTTCGAGCCAGTCAAGTGCAGCTGACATTGCAGTTGACTGAATATGGCTGAAGGCTTCACCTGAAAAAGTCTTGTTGATGCTTTGCTCAGATTTGCTGGGGCACCAGCCGTCATCATTCCTGTGGGCATAAACACTGCCAAACTGTTGATGGTCCTGCGCGTGCTTCAAAGCTTGCTCAGTGCCTTCAGTATTCTTCGAAACAGAGGCAATTCTGCTATTAGACTGGTGCAGCAGACCATGCGGGTTGTAAAGCATCTCCGACAACTGAGCCGTACCAGGCTGTACCTTTCTAGACTCCTAGACATTGTGATTTTTGGAGTTTCACTGTGGCATTATTCCGCAATCTGGGGCTACTTTGACGCACAGCGGCAACGCCCGCAAGGCTGGCGGTCTTGTAGTTAGGCGACCAGCATACGGCCTACTTATGGAGCCTTTCCAAACCTTCGATGTCATTCCATGTGTTTACTTTGACAGGAGTCTTGAACATGAAGGCTTTGTGCAAGCCGCTTCGGTGCTTGTCCTTTCTCGGTGGGCGAAAACCGCCAGATCAGTGCTCCCAGTTTCCCTCGTGCCTTATGTCCACAACCTTGAAACCTGTAATTGATTTATTGACATGACACATGGTATTGCCAGAAGGGATATGCCGAGCTGGTTTGGTCGGGCGCTCCCTTGGCCAGGTACACTGCGTCTGAAGGTCAGCATTTGTCTAAAGCTGTTGACCTAGATGATGAAGACGAGGACGCAAGACATTCAAAGTTTCTCTTGTCTTTGCAAACTTTTCAGCTTTGCATGTCAGGATGATTTCTTCGGAGATTCTTGGGCTGAGGGCGGCGCAAGTGGTTCCAGCGCATCTCAGACAAAGGAGGCCTGCATGCCATTGTGAGCCTGTAAACTTCACACGCGAAATGGTGGATCTTTACCACTACCGGCTGACGATCAACGCTTGCCATGATATGATCCTTCTTCAGGTTACAAGCTGACTGCTCAAGGGATCGTTGGATGATGTTTCGCTCATCCTTTTGATCCCTTGAGTGTTCTCTGTTGCTCCTTTTCTCCACGTACACCTCCACTCCAGAGACCTGCCTCCTGAACCACAACGTAACCCCGAACCACATCACCCACCTCGAAAAAGCGCGTAAGGCGTAAGCGGTCTGCGAGCAACCGCTAAGCGTCCATTCGTCTCAACACCGCGTTTGCAAGCGCCTCGGGCCGACTTGCCTGCGCCGAGCTTTCAGCGTTTCGGATTTGTCGACATTGTTGCCGCTAACTTGGTGCTAAGGAGACTCAAGGTGCGACAGTGTATCGTAGTACATCATACAGGGTCAGAAGCAACGAGGGTGTTTGTGCCAAGAAAACATCGTGCTTCCTCGGCCTAAGCCAAACATTGCCGATGGCCACAATGGCCTGCGAAGAGCAGAAGAGCGGGTATAGAATTGTTGAGGCCCACCGTGCTGTGCTCCGGGATACGCCGTTGGATGCGATCATCTTATTGTGAAAGCAAAGAGCTAGCTTTGTGAGCTCCTTTATCTTTCTTGGAAATACTTTTAAGGGCCTTTGGCAAGCGAACACACGGGCAAAGAAAAGTGAAATCAGGAATTTCCTCGCGGAGCTCATAAAGATTTGACTGAACCGTGTAAACAGACAATATATTAGTAGCGATAATACTTGCATAAGAAGAACGCCTTTAATAATACGAATAGAAATAGCAATACACGAGAACACGAAGTCATCAGTTGTAATAAAATGAGTGTGAGCAAAAAAGAAACACCATTAATACAATGACCAGGGAAGTCGCGTAAATAATATTAATGTGTGAACGACGTGGGAAGAGAGTGTTGTTTGCCATCCACTAATAGTACGTTTAATTGGCCCGCATGTAAGAACACAGTTTTGTGGATTTTAAGGGGGCTATAAAGATAGTAGTAGTGCCCCCTCAATCGCAAAATATTAATTCATGACTTTTCGCCCCTAAAAGTATTTGGGCGCGTTCCTGTTCTTGTTGCGTTCACTTGTCCAAAGCCCCTATAAAGTAGTATTAACGGGGGCCTGGTGAAGGACCTCATCATTATCCTGGATCTAGACGTGAAAACAGGGCTAGAAAAATGCTAGTATTCTATGAGGCCCTTTTTATACAGCAATTGGGGCGCTTATATGCTCTTTTCATGCACCCATAAAATTGTACAATAGCATGCCAAAAGAGAATTGTTAATGGGCACACAAGACGACCCCTTAGAATATGTGTATTTTGTATGTTTTCCTATCAGTCCCAAGATCAAGGATTTTACCGTAGAGTTACTGCTTCATTTCTAATGGACCTGTGTTGCTTGGTTTCCTTTGGAGCGAGTGTGTTTCCATGTAGAGTCCACTTTTTGGCTGGTGTTGTTGGCAGGAGAAAGGGACGTAGAAGTAGTGTACTGCTAAGTGCACTTGATGAGCATGTTGAGTTCTTAAGAAACGTTCCCAATAGCTTGGCTGTGCTAGAGTCTGCAGGATCAGTATTGCTTGTGACATCTGTCAGGCCGTCAAGCATGGTTACGTACAGAAAACTGCACTTCCAGCCTTACGATTGTGGCATTTGTTCGGCATGATCTCATGACTGAAAGCGCAGGCTGAGGCGCAGCGCAGCGGTGTCCTTCCGCCACGTTCGCGTTAAACCATGGGAACTGCGTAGCTGTGTTGTCGCTATGTTGTCGCTGTGCTGTCACCGTGTCGTCCTCGTTGACGCGCCTGTCCGGTGACAGGTGGAGCGCCATCCAACCAGGGAAACGACTACCAAGCGGCCAGCTCCAGGTTCGGTGCTGTTCTCGTGACTAGAAACAGATAGCCGCAGACAAGCATTGCACGCGAAGTCTGAGTAAACGAAATTTGTGTCTGTGTGGCACGTCTGTTTCGAGACAGTCTTTCTAATTCGTGCAGCAGAAGGGGGTGCCCAACGCAGAGGACGCTCAGAAAGCCGCAAACGCACCTCCTGAGAACAGCATCGGCTGGGAATTTTGTGGTCCCGGCAATAGTTCTCTCAAAGCATTGTCGGACTCACAGTCGGCGTGAGAGAATTCAACACAGAGTGCGCTTTGAAGCAGCAGGTATCTACAGACCCACAGAACATGTGGTCACGATATATTGAACTTATCGTGCCAGTCACGCGTTGAGCTTCTTCTAACGCTTAACTCGTGCGAGCGAGATCAGTTTTCACACGTCCAGATGATGATCTGTTCTTGCGAGGGCTGCCCTCCTAGTCATGCTGAATGCGCCATCTTGTGCTAAATTCTGCAGTCTCTGTTCGCACGACGGCAAAGAGATGCAAAGACAAGACAACAGAGGACAAAGGCTGGGAAGACAAAACGCAGTCCAAGGCACAGGTGGGAAGAAAAAGGGCCAGCGACGTCGACCAGTCCCTTTTCGCTCCTTGTGGTGGAAGGATGTGGCAGGCATGGGTGTTCAGGTTCGTGGCGAGGTTCCGTATCGTGTTGTTGTGTGTTGTCGGTTACTCGGGCAAGACGTGCAAGTGAACTCCGTGAATCTCCTTGATATATGTGTTGTTTTTTATCTACAAATACTAAATGGTGAAAATCTTGAGGTGCTTTGGTTCCCCACGCCATGAATCCCACATGTGGTGGTAGTCCGGAGATGCTTTGAATCTGTATTTGTTGAAAGGGGACAACGTTGTTGATGTGAGTGTTGATGCTGTAGTGCTCGTGCGTTACAACGCGCCAAAAGCATTCATGCAGCAGAAGAAACTCGTCAGCAGATTGAGCTGGAAGTTCCAAAGCCTCATGTGAACCAGGCGTTTCGTCACAGGCGCCCAAGTTGGCCGCCAAAAAACAGGCCCATGCCTTGCCAACTGCACTTTTGGGATCGAGCTCCGAGTGTATTTGCAAAGTTTCGATGAAGGAAGCGGACTTCTTCAACGAGTTGGGCATGGAGCCGGAGTATAGAGCTCCGAGGACGTGCGTTGGTGTTGCGAAGTAAATCGCAGTGAAGTTAGCATTTGCCACATGATAATTAGAAAGTTTGCATGCAAAACCTCGTTCACCGCGCCGCAAGGATTCTTGAAAAGGAGCATGGTCCCACCAAGGGTTCTTCTGTGAGTTCCTTGCTGGATGAGGCGGCAGAGGCGTTGGGTACCACATGTCATCACACTTTTGGAGCGATTGCCGTGTTTGCCGTGTTGTTTTGATCACGTCCAGGTCTCCACTGCTGGTTGGGGCGATGACTTGGATCTTTGAGGGTGGGCACAGCAGTGCTCGCCCCACGTAGACTAGACCACGTAGGACAACGCTCGTAAATGTGTGGGCGAAAAACTCCAGCTTTTGTCTGAATGTGACCCCGGCTTGCCTTGCGAACGTTAGATTTTTGTTGTCCTCTGGTGTATTTCCTGATGTCTGTTTTGCGAGCGTCTTGATTGCAATCGATGTTTCGTCAGGGCCAGAAGCCTCGCTAGAAAGAGGTCCTAACTGCACCAGCGTTCACGGAATCCCCTTCCCGCCCATGGTACGATGTTTGCAAATCCGGCGCGTAAAAGATTATGAACAGGGGGTCATTTTGGAGTCCGACTTATTCCAACATCAACTGTCATCAACTATTACACCCTTATGAAAAGCCTCGTGCGGTCATTCCGCTGTCTCGTATATTTCCGTATCATCTCTAGGTATACAAGTGCCCCATGTGCACTTGTAGTAAATAATGACAGAAATGTATCATTCAGGTTTTCAGTATCTTGAAAGGGCCTCAACAAAGATCATTAATAGAAGCCTGGGTCTCAACGAGGCTAGCGAATGATGTGGCTCACTTTTTATCATGTTGTCAGGCTTTTGATAATTCTTGCTTTTCTGAAATGCACTTGCAGGGCTAGTGAGGTTTTAGAGTTCCTTGAGCGGTTTCCTTAATACTTTTCTGGTGTCTTGTGTCGTGCCCACTATTGTCGTTCACACGGTTATATTATGCGAAGTCCCCTCCCTCTGGAAGTTCCCTGCCCCCCTGTGGTTCATGGTCTGCGGGTTTATTTTAGGGTTAGGCTGTCGGGTTCATGGCGGGTTTAGACTTTAGGGTTCAGGGTTGAGGGTTGAGCTGTAGTTCCATGGTTTCCCCTCCCAGATTTCGGGTTTCCTCTCCTCCCACCACTGTGGTTGGTGGTTGGTGGTGGTTTGTGGTTACCGGGGGGGGGGGGGGGGGTCGGGGCACGCGGAGCGCGGGTGCACAACAGGGCTTGCCTCCAATTGCATTAGACATCTCGCAGCCATAGTTGCGGCCCAAGAGACGCACAACTTGCGGCCGTTTTTACTTTGTTTTGTTTCGAGTTGGTGGCCCGGAACCCAGTTCGGCACAGTCCTTACAGCGCTGAATCTGAACCATCGCTGCCCACAGACGTCATCGCCCTCAGAAGTACGTAGTCGGGTATCTGTACACGATTCGACAGACCTACACAAAATCAGGCACTGCATTGGACAGTCTGCATCCTGCTTGCCAGATCGGTGTCGACGCTCACGCGGGTTTCAAGCCAACAAATCATACAAGCAGCAAAAATCAAGTGAAAGCTGTCCGCATCCGTTCAGTGCTTGCAAGAGCCACAGGGCAGCAAAATTCTCACTTCAGATTTCGCATGATTTAGCCGAATGACTTGAGGACTCAATGAGCGAGGCCGGCAATGCCTATAGCGGCGGCATCAAGGAACCGAACCTTCTGCTAGACTGCACAGACATAGGGCTTTTACAGTTCCGCGCCGCTGCCTCCGAAAGCTTTGTTTAGCTCCAGCCAGGATGGTCTATTCCATGGAAAGGGTACATTGACGTATGCTGGGAATGAGCGCTACGAGGGTGAGCAGTGAGCCTAGCCTGTCCACTGTTCTGTGATGTATGGAGGGGAGGTGCAGGCCGGCCCTTGAGTTGGCAAGGTGGGTTTATGGCAAAAGAGAAGGCCATGGCAGGTGCATGGATGCATGACCGGTTGCTGCTGCTCCTTCGTGTGCGCGAAAGCTTGCGATGATTCATGGAAGGTTTACATATGCGGATGGTGCTATCTTTGAGGGCCAGTGGTGTGAGGCGCCTTGGTCTCTGTGTTTTGTATGGAGGCTGTCTACAGAGGCAGTTGCTGTCAATGAGCGTGTGACTGTGAGAGGGCGTTCCAGCCTTTTGTCCTGAGCATCCCCAGGACAGAATACATGGCCAAGGCGTGGCTGTGTTCGCATCGGGGAACCGGTACGAGGGGACATGGGAGAATGGCCGCATTCATGGGCATGGTGCGGTCCCTATGTTTGCTCCGCGGCGCAGCTTCTGCATCTTCTGCACTGCCATTGCAGACCCATCTGGGAATCAAGGAACCTTGACCTATTCGAACAAAGACCAATATGACGGTGACTGGTTCAAGTCTTACAGCCTGTTCTGCTTGTCAGGTTATAAAGCAGCACGTGATTGCGCACAATCATGTGCAGGGTTGATGATGCTGCCATTCATTTGGCTCCTAGGCATGATGGCAAGATGCATGGGCGAGGCACCTATCGCTATGTGGCAAACTTGGCTTATACGGGATTCCCCAATTCCACCAACATTAAGGCACCTGTATCCCGCCGTACAACTGAGGCAGAAGGCGATGTGTATCAGGGCGAATGGCGGGATGACAAGCGACACGGAAAGGGCGTAGTTACATATGTGGTCGCCCCAGCGTTTTAAGGGGTGCTGCTGGCAGCGATGCCCAGCTGGCTCGCTTGCGAGTTTCCGGCATCTTCTGCTTCAGCCAAGGTCAGTGCCCGAGGTAGTGTTGTTGAGAAGTTCGAGGGGGACTGGGTCAATGGGAAGATGCACGGCCACGGCAAGTGCCCTCGAGTTCACCAGATTGCTGATGCGCATGTAGGCAGATGTTTCACGGAGACGTTGCTTCAGGTACCAGTACGCTGACGGTGGCGTATACGAAGGTGATTGGCATGACGGAAAGATGCATGGAAAGGGCGTCTATGCCGGTCTCCAAGCTTCCAGAAGTCATGTGCACTGTGGAACACATTGAAACTTCCCCACGAGGTCTTCCCAAACGGGAACACATACGATGGTGAATGGGTGAATGACATGAAGGAAGGCGCGGCTGATGACTGGGAACTACTTCAGAAATTCAATACAGCTCGGCTTGATTGAAAAGATTGAGGCTACGGTACGTTGACTTACCAGAACGGGGAGAAGTATGATGGCCTTTGGAAGGCCGACAAGGTGCCGAGAGCAAAACCGTGCAAAGATATGTAAATCCGGAAAAGCAGCGTTAAGGAGTGTTCGGCAAGGTGAGAGGCAAGCGTTCTATGTTTAATGCGGTAGCAGCACCAGCTAGATAGTGCCTTTAAGATGCGTGGGTTCTTACAGGGACCTTAAAGCGGGGTGGCGGTATTTAGGGGTACTGGCGTGGTTGACTCAACGTGGTGGTGGTGGTGGTGGTGCTGGTGCTGGTGCTGGTGCTGGTGGTGGTGCTGGTGCTGGTGCTGGTGGTGGTGGTCGTCGTCGTCGTAGTAGCAGTAGTAGTAGAAGTAGCAGCAGTAGCAGTAGCAGTAGCAGTAGTAGTAGCAGTAGTAGTAGTGGTAGTGGTGGTAGTGGTGGTGGTGGTAGTAGTGGTGGTGGTGGCAGTAGTGGTCCGTAGCCGTAGCAGTAGCCGTAGCCGTAGCAGTAGCAGTAGCAGTAGCAGTAGCAGTAACAGTAGCAGTAGCAGTAGCAGTAGCAGTAGCAGTAGCAGTAGCAGTAGCAATTAGTAGTAGCAATTAGTAGTAGTAGCAGCAGTAGTAGTGGTAGTGGTAGCAGTACTTGTACTGGTAGTAGCAGTGGTCGTGGTAGTGGTACTGCTCGTGATCGTGGTCGTGGTACTTGTAGTGGGAGTGGGCAGTGGCAGTGGTAGTGCGGTAATATGTGGCAGTGGTAGTGCGGTAGTGGTCGTGGTAGTGGTCATGGTCGTGGTAGTGGTTGTGGTAGCAGAACCTGTCTTGATAGTTGCACTACTTGTCAACTGCACTATTGTGTGGCCGTGATGATCACATTGGATGTATGATAACCCCCCCCCACTCCCTGGGACCATCGGAACAGGTTTGCGCATTTCGATTTCACAGTTAATTGACATTGGCCCGACTGTCACATGATGCCGGTCTGATTCACTGTTGTCTGCAGAGTCATGGCGGCGAGTCTTTGTAGAGCATTTTCAGGTACATGGCAAGGGCACCCTGGTCTACACTTACGGTGACAAGTTTGTTGGTGACTGGGTTGATGCGGCAGTCCCAGCTTTTTCTCAGCTTTGGCAGTACCACATGTTCTTAACAGAAGCCACTTCCAGGCCAAGAAGGAGGGTGAGGGTGAGCTCATCTACTCCAATGGCGACCGGTTCAAAGGCTGGCTGGACGTCACGTCAATGTGGCTCACTGGGGGAGTCACCGCATCGTGCGCATGCAAGGTCAGTGGGCGGATGATAGAGCCTCGGGGTATGGGGTATTCGTTTATGCTAACGGCAATCGTTATGATGGCCAGTGGTTAGATGACAAACGCAGGGGGCCAAGTTCTTCAACAGAAGATAAGAATTACCCGGCTGGCCTGGCAGATTTGAAACGAGTTGAGCTAAGGTCACGGCAGGGGTGTCTTTGCATGTGCCGAGGACGTGGCCAACTGCTGCCGTCCGCCAACCAATTGCGAGTGCAGAAATCAGATTGTCAGGATGGGTCAGTCTACGATGGCGAGTTTGCTTTCGGAAGGAAAGAAGGCAGATGCTGCTTACAGCTGGGAGATTTCCAGTGCAAAGGGTTCTGCTCAACCGTTGCTTGCCAGCCATTCTTTGCTCATGAAGTCATCTTTGTAGATTCAGGTTCCACAGTGAAGCATGTAAACTCCGCATGCAAGCTTGCGGCCGTGAATGAAGTGCATCACACGTGACGCTGCGCTACGCTCTTCTCGGAATTGCAATGAGTTGCATAGTCTCTTGACAGTGTCTTGTGCTTGTGCTGTCAGGCTAGGGCAGGCATGGTGCAGCACACATAAACAGGCGCGACATCAGGCGCCGACGATCTTGGCTCAGGCCAAGGGAGTCGTGCCAGCAGAACTCTTTTCTTAGAAAAGAGAAAGGCCATGAGCCTTCAGCCATGGATGCCATCAAGGAGTGGCTGACGAAGCATGGCTATTCGGATTTGCTGGATTGGGCTTCGCATGAAGGCCTGGAAACGGTGGATGATTTAGCCTTCTTCTTTACTGACACGCATTTGCCGACATCAGAGCCGCTCAAGGCTGCTTGGGTACAGGCAAGAGAGGGCAGATCAGATGGTTATGTCATTGCAAAAGACTTGCTGCAAGTCGGTCACATAGCGTGCGGCCCACGGATGCGCAAGCCTCATGTGCGTGCTAAAGCGACGCAAGGTATGCTCAAACCACTCACTGTAAAGGTTGATTTCATTCAGCGCCAGTTGCAAGTAAACCGAGCTATTCAGTTGTCAATGTCCTGGGCGCCAGCATTTGGTGTCAAAGCTGGGGTGGTCGATGAAGCCATGTTGCAGCGACGTGTCAAGTCATTGTCTGCGCGTCTATTGGGATTTGAGCCGCGTACGGTGAAAGCTGCGCTAGCTGAGTGGCAACGATTGTGGAGCCATGTCCGCAGTCAAAATCCGTCCAGCGCAGCTCTTCAGTTCGGGGCTGGCGTCCCGGCAGTTCTTGTAGAAGATTACATCAACATCTCCTCCGAAGGAAAAGGGACATCTGTGCCGAAGGCATGCTACGATCGCTTGGCCTGGCTTGCCCGACACTTGCAAGCGCCTCTTGATATGGAAGCAGTTCCTGTGCCCCGCACTGTGCACCAGGCGGAGCTGCGCGATTCTGGGGAGCGAGGGCAGGCTGTGCCGCTGGAGCCTTTTATGGTGGGTTTCCTCTGCAGCCGTGCGCAAGAGGCCAGAACTCAGCAACTGGCATCAGCGTGCGTCTTGTCTGTGATGGTGGTCTTGGCGTTCATGCCGCTGCGATATCGACATGCTTTGCGCATGGTGCCGGTCAGTAGGGCTCCAAAGTGGGTCTGTTTCTGGGTTTTTCGTGGTAAAGGCAGAATCAATGGCATCAGGAAAGGATTCAGTTGGTTCGTGCCGAGATTGCCGGTGCTGGAAGAGTCATTGCGCTGCATCTGGGATGGATGGCACAGCACGCAAGCTTTGCCTTGCTACCAGGCAAGCCCGCCTGTTTTCATTTGCCACATTGATGGTCGCGCTGTGTCCCTGTCTCAGTTCAATGACATGGCGCAGCGACAGCTGGCAGATGTCGTGTGCGCGGATTCGCCGCCCGTGTCTTCGTACTCCTTCCGACGCTGCGCTCCCACAGCGCTAGATTGCCGCGGCGCCCCATGGCCTGAGCGCTTTGATGTGGGAGGGTGGCAGATGGACGAGGCGGCAATTCGCGATCGCAGGGCAACCAGAAATTCCATGCCTTTCCGCTATAGTGGCCAGCGCGAGGGGAACGAAGTGCAGAGCAAGGCGCTTCACGCTTTGACGTTCGCTGCTTCTTTGGAGGCGAACGTGTCGTCCTGGCAGGATTTTCGGGCTTGGTGGACACGTCAGCCAGCGGCCACGGTGCAGTCCTGGCAAGAGGAGGCAGCAACCTACGCGGACTTCTCTGCGAAGGCGGAGTTTGCAGCACGGGCCCCAGGTCACCTGAAACACATGGAAAACCGAAGGTATGTGCCTCGCCAGCCTTCTTTGCAGCCATCGCGACCATGTGGGAAGCGTGTCTTTGATCCTCAGAGTTGGGTGTCAGCGGGCCGACGCGGCGCTCTCATGCATCTGTGCCGCGCGGATGCTGTGGGCCCTGTATGCTCATGGCGTCAGAAGCTGAAGAACGGCATCTTCAAAGGAAAAGCTTTGAGGTTTGACTCCTTGTCTGAGGCGGTCAGTGCAGATCGTCCTTTTTGTACAGCTTGCGTTTTCTTGTTGCCAGAGCATCTAAAGAGCCAGGTGGTTTCAGCGCAAGAAATCAAGAAGCGTACCGAAGCGCGTGCTTGTTACCCATCCATGTCTGCGTCGCGCAAAGAGCGCCAGCGGTGTTTTTAGCCTTGAAGTTGCCGCAGTCAGGACTCCTTTTTTCTTGTAGCTTCGTAGTGGCCTTGTTCTTTGAGCAGCGCTCGCTCTCAGCCAGTAGCATGGCTCTGACAGTGGCAGACCTGCAACCCCCAGCACAGCCTGCGGATGACCCTTCCGAGCTCTTCAAGGAGCTGTGCCTCAAGTTCAATGTCAATGAAAAAGTCGGCGCCTTCTTAGTCAATGAGGGATGCCGTAGCCTTGAAGACTTTGCCAAGTTCGTCACGAATGACGATGAGGTTAGGGTCCATGTGATTGACAAAGTGCAGGATTTGTCGAACAAGGGCGTGCAAACGGCTAGAGTTCGCAAAGCCTGGGCGGCAGTAGTCGAAGCTGTCCAGAAAGCAGCTGACAAGAAGCGCAAAGGTCTCGAAACCCCTGAGCTGGAAGCTTTGTTGGGCACAGAAGAGCTTGAGTCTCTTCACGTTGCCTTTTGGGGGCGCTATCGGATGAGGTATCCGGCAGCTCGCACGCCGTCAGATTTGCTGGTGTCAAATCTCAATCGCCTTTTCAAAAGCAGACTCCTCACCATTCACAAAGTCCTCAAAGTCAAATCGTTGGCAGCACAGCTCAGCGGTGAAAAGAAGCGCGCCAAGGTCACGGAGGGTGTGCACATTGTCCATGCTGAAACGGTAGAGGACCATGTCGAAGAAAATGTAGCCAATTTTTTGATCCAGCTGGAGATGCTGATGGTGGCTTTCGCTAAAGCAGGCACGTTTGCGCCGCCTGATGTCCCGACTTCTCCTGAAGATGTGCATTCTGACCCATGCAGCTATGTTTTTTGCCCGCTGGATGTTTGCATGGCGCATTTTCATAGGGTGCAGAAGTATGTCATGTCAATGCCCGTGAGCCGCTTGCCGGAAATCGTGACCAAAGAAGAGGAGGACAGGGCTCTCTGGTGTGAGCGGTTTCGGGGCAGCAAGCGCACGATCGGCGCCGTCATTCGAGAAGTCTACACTGAGAGGCAAGCAGTGTGGAGTTTGCCAAGCTCAGCTGACGTGCCACCTCCGCCTGCTGCGGAGCTTGAAAGCACCAGGAAGTCCAAGACTGTTTACTATGCTACTGCGCTGAAGGATGGCAAAGCCATCTGCCAGGATTGGAACCGTGGCCAGTGTGTCAAGTCGGGCCCTTGCCCCAAGAAGCAGCTGCACGTGTGCAATGTGCAGGTAGGTTCCCGGCAAGCGCGAGTCTGTGGCATGAGCAACCACCGTGGCATCAACTGCAAGCAGGCGGAAAGGGCCCGCAAGGCCTGATGGTGCCCAGGCGAGGGCGGGCCAGAGACTTCGCTTGGGGCCAGTCTGCAGTCTGGCAGTTGTGCCGCCGCGTTGCCACCAGCAGTCCAGCTGGAGTTTTGCCAGGAAGCCATTGTCAGTGGTTTCCGCTTCATGTTTCCGAGAGAAGCGCTGCATGGCTTTGCATTGCCCATGCTGCAAGATTTGTTCAACCATCCGTTTTTCACGTTGTTTCACCAATGGACTGCCGATCATCGAGTGGATGTCAACACAAGTCACCTAACAGGAACTGCCAAGGTTCAGCCAAGCTTGGGATTGCAGACAACAGTCCTGGCCCAAAAAGGTGCGTTGCCCAGCAAAGTTCTTCCTCACCAAAGCAAGGAAGCCCTATTCCGAGCATGCTGTAAAGCATCCCATGAGGAGAGGTTGCCGTTTGATGATTTGGCATGCTCTGCAGATTTTTCTTTTGCGGCGTGGTGTGCCATTCATTGCTTGCCGGTTTTGCGAGACCACCGCAAGTTAGGCCGCGACCTGCTGCAGGAATTGTCGCGCCGCTGCCAGCCCCTATCCCGCCATTTGCGAAAATTTTTGCATCCGTCAATCAACAGTGTGGCAGGGCACATCCATGTTGGGCTCATTGCTGCCTTGATAATCCTCATGAAGTGGCCGGACAGGACTCTGCCTCTGGGATTTTTGCAAGGCTTTGCGTTGATTGGTCAGCTTGAGACGGTCAGCATCTGGACAGCAGTTGATGAGGTTCCCGACATCGATGAGGCCACCTTGTGTGGCACAGGCCCAGCCGTGTTGCAGCAGTACGGCCGGAGACATTTTGACCAGGATGAGCTGCAATTCCTTTGGGCCAGTTGCCAGAAGGAAGTGGCCAATGGCAAAGCGGGCGCGCCTGTAACCGTGGAGTCGCTGGATGTGGAATATGGCAAAGACTCTTGGTCTGTAGTGCCTGCCTTTGTGCATACTCAGCCGGACGGGAAGCGCAGACGCATCGATGATGCTAAAGCTGGCATGCAAAATCTTGCCACGGCTTTTTTCGGAACGTTTCAGTATGGTCTCTGCCATGATGCCTGCCGTGGCTGCTCGAGCGCTTGGAGCGTGGGCAGCGCGTGAAGGAGCAGTGACCATGTTGCAGAGCACCCGCCTTTTCACAGCTGCAGAAGATCTGCCGGAGGCGTACCGCATTTTGCCAGTTCATCCTCGGCATCTCAGACACAACAACGTGGCTGTGCAACATCCCCAAACAAAAGAGGTTCATGTCTTTCCATGTTGGGCCTTGTTGTTTGGATTTGCCGCCAGCGTTTTTCAGTTTGAGAGATTTTCCTTTTTCTTGGAGGCGGCTGGGAGGCGAGTCCTGCATCTCATGGTGAGCCTCTACGTGGACGACAGCCATTTAGATGATTTGGAGTGTGCAGGAGGGCATGGGCAAGCTCTGTGGAAAGAGTTGGCCACTGAGTGCGGCCAGTCCTTTAAAGAAGCCAAGGCTCAAGACCTCGCGCTGCAAAACGATTTTTTGGGTATTTCTCATGACACCAGCGCTGCCTTCAGTTCATGTACTGTCTCCTTTCATGCCAAGCAGAGCCTTGTGGACAAAGCTGTTGGGTTGATTCGCGCAAGGATGGCTGCAGGCCGCACGACCCCTGCGCAGGCCTCCAAGATTCGAGGCGTTTGCGGCTTCATTGCCCTCGCGCAGTGGGGGCGTGTTGGTCGTGCTCCATTTGGCCCCTTGCGCCGCAGGCAGTACAGTGACAAGCATCCGTGGGACAATTCGCGGGAGCTGTGCAGGGCGTATAATTTGCTCCTGATGCTTTTGGAGTTCCATGTGCCTAGAACAGTCAAAGTAACAGCCAGTGCGCTTGGTTTCCTGGTTGTGGCCTCGGATGCGCAAGCTGATTCAAACCCTTCGGGCGGTGTGCTGATTTACGACCCTGTGACAGGTCACAAAGTGGGGGGGCACTTGCAATTTCAGCAGCAACTTCTGGAAGCTTGGGGGTATTCTCCTGCAGCGTTGCGGGCTGGAGCAAATCCCATAGCTTTGTGTGAGTGCTGCATGTTGCCAATTACCCTCATGAATTTTCGGAATGTCTTCGCAGGAAGAGACGTTTTATGGCTGTGCGACAACACGACTGCACTCTATTCCATTGTCAAGGGCACAGCTAGGGGTCCGCAGCTGGATTGCATCGTTGCGGTGTTTCATTTTCTCTTGTATTTCCTCAACGTCCGATGCTGGCTCGAGTGGGTGGGCAGTAACAGCAATTATTCGGATGGAATCAGCAGAGAATTGGACAAGGATCCTTTCAGCACAGCTCATGGCTTCGAGCTTCGGACGATGTGGTGCCCGCAATCCTTGTGGTTCCAACCCTTGCGGGTGATGTGGAAACGTTGTCAGCAGTTTGAAGTTAGTCACGTCTGAGGAGCATGCGGCGCCAGCCGAACCGTGTGGACAGTCGAGCATCGTTGGCAGAAAAGTGTGAATACATCGGAGCAGCGTTGGGTGAGTCACACTCCTGATGCTATCATGTCTGTGTTCTATTATCAGCTGCCAACTTTTGCCTTAATTCTGCCAATGCGATTCAGTACGGCTTTGTTGGCCGCAGAAAAACCAAATCTGCATGCAGTCGCCGATATGTTTATGCTTGTGCTGTCAGGCTAGGGCAGGCATGGTGCAGCACACATAAACAGGCGCGACATCAGGCGCCGACGATCTTGGCTCAGGCCAAGGGAGTCGTGCCAGCAGAACTCTTTTCTCCCTCCCTGGCCCACCCTGGTTTCTGACCGCATATGGGGGGGACGGCAGCTGTGCGCCGCAGGGGGATGCTAGTACGTTGAGACCGGATAGCGCAAGGGCGCGTAGGCATGTGCATGGGGTGAGTCACACTCCTGATGCTATCATGTCTGTGTTCTATTATCAGCTGCCAACTTTTGCCTTAATTCTGCCAATGCGATTCAGTACGGCTTTGTTGGCCGCAGAAAAACCAAATCTGCATGCAGTCGCCGATATGTTTATGATAGTTCTACTCGTCTTCTACTCGTACAGCGTTGGAGAGTGCTGGCAAATCCTGCAGAACCTTTGCCCGACCAAGAGCTCAGTAGCCTTGACGTGACTTGTGTGACTGGCCAGGTAGAGGCGTTCTCAAATTGCAAAGTGGGCACGTGCTGAGTGGCGTCTGGAAGCCGTGACCTCGGACACAACCAAAAGTTGTCAGAGACACAAGGGGAGCGCTTCAAAGATGAAACTCAGCTCTTCAAAGCTGTTGTGTTGGGCGCAGCATGGTCAGCAAGCCTTGCAATCACTGGAAATGGCAACAACCCTTGCAGCGACATGCAGTAGAGCGCTTGCAATAGACAGACATGCACGGAGATGAAGAACGTCAAGGCAGCACGACAGCTGGAGACGGGAAAGAAGACGAGAAGCGACGAGAGAAAACGGACACAGCAAGGGGAAAGTCGTTGGTGGACGATGACAGTCACTTTTGTGAAACGCTCGAAGCCAGGCCGAAGAGTCGAAACGCGCATGGCAAGAAGAACCGGCGCAAGAAGAGAAGATGAACCGCCCCCCCCCCCCCCACCCCATGAAGGAGAAGAGGATTTAAGATGAAATCATGGGGTGAAACATCTTCCGGATGAACGGAAGAAGCATGAATAAGTAGGTAATCACCAAGACAGTCTCACTCTGTCGGGACCTTATCCTTGGGTTGTTGTGTTCTGCGGTGGTTGTTTCAATGACCCCTGGGGGAATTTGGAGTCCGAGTATAGGGCCGTTCGACCACCACGCGCCAAAAGACAAAGCAAACAGCTGTCATAGCCGTCAGAATCAATCATCTGAGAGCTGGACGTCCAAAAATGGACCAAACGAGAAATTCAGAAACTTGTAGTTGCCACCTTGTCAATGGCCTCTGGTTGTTCATGTTGCTTGTGTTTGCTGAGGCAGGGAGAGCTTGCCCAGGCAGCAGGGTGCTGCAATGAGTTCCGGTGTTTTGGACCCGAGTGGAGTTCTTGCGGTTAGTGCCCTTTGAGTTGTTGCGGCGTCAGGTGGTGGAGTTCGTGTTTTCGGCGGACTCCCCATGGAAGAATCCAGATCTGTGACTTTCACCAAGACAGCACGATCATCACTATTGATATCGTGCCGGTACTTTGTTGCATCGTAGCATGACTCTTCCAGATTCCGGCTCACGTCCATGCATGTTTTCTTAACCCAAACACGACGGCAATGCAGAAGCACCTTGCGGCCACATCGGGGCCAAATAGCCTGCCAGTATTTCGTAAGTCCTCCTGTTGAGTCATGCTTCGTTGCTCGATTTGTTTATGCTCGGCCAAGCTGCTTGTTAAGGCAGCAGGCTGATTCGTACCACTAGAGAAGGGCCTGCGAAACATCTGAAGCCCATTCTAGTGCACACCAAGTGTTGTTACATGGAGTTTCGACAAGGCTCTCAGACCTCAAACACATGCTGTGCCGCTGTGTGTCTGTTGTCTACAGACGCATGACGGACGGAGCCTCAAACTTCAAACACAAAGATGTTTGTTTGTGCTCCAGGGTCTTCACACGGGAACATGAAGTAGATGACAGATCCGCCCTGCTTGATGGATGGATCAAGTCTTGCGCTTCTGTACACGCAAAGCGTTTTTTGTTCCTTCTGTTTCCGTGCTAGACCCGAGTCTCAGAGCTGGACAGGCTCAAAATGGCGCACAATGTATTCGCTAGAAAATGGTCAGAGCAGCTTCGTAGACCAGGCTGTCCATGGAGCATGTTTGTTCACTGAGGATTTGAATGGCATCATGGCTGTCAGGTCTTCCTGGAACGTCTACCGTAGAATCTAAGCACTGCAGCTCAAGAGCACGGGCACTCGTCATCGACTCTTCTGAGTCCTTTCTCGCTTGTCAGCTTTCATGAAGCTTTGAGAAGCTTTGGGGCGGTTTCAACTGCTTGCGTTTGCTCCCCATGCCATGTCTTCTCTGTCCTCTTGATCCGTAGCTCCAGACTTGCCTTTTGCAAAGTGAATGACGTGTGGGGCAATGTAGTGACGTCGCTGCTCGGCAAGACAGATTTTGGTGAGATCCGTTTAGGCGCTGCAGACTTTGGTTAATGGCAATAGGCTGTGTCCGAATTTGATACGAGGCGGCTTGAGCAGGTTGGCTGGTGAAGTCGGATTGAGGTGTGCCATGATCCGTCCGCGTTTGCAACGCATAGAATCGCAACCAACTTGTACTTTTTCAGATTCAGACTAAGAGCATAAGTGCTTGAGACTCGGTTTGCGAGACCGCGCGGTCTTTGCAATCGCAGGCAAGGATGGTCCACAACCCGAGTGTGCATTATCATACAACTTCCTGTGTGGCCGCAGCTCATGCGCCCTTGAGCTATCATGATAATCTAAATGCGAACCTGAGCATGAGGTGTCTCTTCAAAAGTCGAGCGAGTGGGTGTTTGTGTCTCAGTGTCTGTGTGACTCTGTCTGTCTAGTGTGTGTCTGGGTGTCTGCTTTGGGAGCGTGTGAGGTTGGGTGTGGGGGGAGGGGGGGGGGGTCGTTTCCTCTGCAAGTGTGATTTTGCTGTCGTAGGGCAGTTGTGATGAACGTACCTCATGGCGTGACGCATGCGGATTGGCACCAGGAGTTCCACTATGCGCTGGCCGCAGCCCCATTTTTCTTTCGTACACAGTACACACCCAAGCCGGCGATGCGATGCAGACGCCGCATCAAAGCCACCATCACCTACTGACTCCACCTGAGACTCTAAATAGATTAAGCAGTCCACCCCAGAGCCAGCTCTGCACTAGCTCTACCCCGACAAGTCGCCAGCTATGGCTGAGAAAGAGAAGAAGGATAAGAAAGAGAAGAAAGAGAAGGACGCCAAGGAAGTCAAGGAAAAGAAGGAGAAGAAGGACGAGAAAGATGACAAAAAGGAAAAGAAGGACAAAAAGGCAACGGCGTTGTATTCCTGAGGAATTTCGGATGCACGCAATCTCGAAGGCTTCAGCTCCTAGAATGACCCATTGAATTGCAGGAGAAGCGGCGTGAAGACGGTATGGATCTGTGGGCCTCTACCGTTGATAACACTGGGGTGATGACAGGGGCGAATGCCTACGGCGGCCCCAAGGCGAGCATAGGCATAGGCCAGCCTAGCTAGCCTGGTATTGCCGGGGCTGGCTCGCACACAAGGCGCCACAAGACAAGCGTGAGAAGGAGATGGCCAAAGAGAAGGAGATCAAGAAGGCAAATTAAATGCATCAGTGCAGACTAGTCGCTACTAGCAAAGTTTGGCTGCAGCAGACGTGCTGCCATTCATTCACGTGCTTTTCACGCATCTCCCATGACTTTCGACATTTTTGTTGCATTTCCAAGTAGAAGCTTAATTACGTGCAGACGCCCACGCGCACAGAGTGAAAGAACCACTTCAGAGCCCGCCGCAGCTGGAGTCATGTAGCGCCTTGGGCCAGCCAGTAGCTACATTCCACTTAGAGCCGGTTTGTTTTGTCCACCATTGCCCGCCTAAAATGCGAGCAAGTCGGCATGCACAGGATGCCAATCAATCAAAGATCTTTCAATCAAATATACTTTCCCATTTGACATTTGAGGGAAGGGGAGAGAAAAAAGGAATGTCGGAATGATTACTGCATATTACTGCCACTAGCATCATTGATTTTGCTACTGCTATGATCATTTTTACTACCACCACCAACAGCATGGCACAGTCAAGTTGCCGGTATGCACGTCTAGTGGCACTGTAAATGCAGCGGCGCTTCAAGAGCGCTAAACGGAGGCTTTCGTGCACCACGTGTGAAGGCAGAGTACCGCTAAATGGTCCTGAGCGAGATATTGCCCACCCACGATTGGTCTCCTCTGATCGAGATATTGCCCGCGCAAGAACTGATCTCCGTGTTTGCTTCCGCGCGACGTGTTGCGTGTGTTGTTGATCTTGGACGTTGCGTCCCGCAGACACCGCGGTCAGGAATGCAACCCTCACACCACGAGGAACGAAGGGCTATGTGCCACGCCTAGGTCGCGACTGCAGTTTCGCCTTTGCATCAAAGCTCCGTCGTCACGACCCGATGTTATTTGAACAGGGGAGGCCCCTGTTGCTTATCACTTGCATGGTCCGGAGAGGAGGTGATGCCATCGGATTGCATAGGGTTCTAGACAATGGGTTCCTACGGTGGGGCTGAGCACAGAAAACCCTGAACTTATGCCTGTCCAAAACTGACCCTTGGGACGAAGCTGGGCCGCGGTCCTGCTACTGCTATTGCAACTACTTCCGCCAGTACAACAACAAGCACAAACAACAGCAGCAGCAACAACGACAACAACAACAAACAACAACAACAACAACAATTACTACTACTACTGCTACTACTACTACTGCTACTACTACTACTTCTACTACTTCTACTACTATGATATCTATGATTACGACGACGACGACGACGACGACGACGACGACGACGACGACGACGACGACGACGACGACGACGACGACGACGACGACGACGACGACGACGACGACTACTACTACTACTACTACTAC